AATGTTTATGACGTAAACCAAACTGACGCCTTGGCGTTTGAAGACGATCAGGCAAGCATAGTAGTAAATGACTATTCTTGGATTTAACAGCTCTCGCACAACTATAGTATTTTTATTCACCTTCTGCTTCTACACCTACTTCCTTTGTCGTACAATGAAACAACAACTTGACTCACGCCACTTTACTTTATAGCGTCATTGTAAATAACACAAGCGAATGCACGCTAACCATACTTGAACTTTTTGCCTTTTGGTGAATAAATTCGCTAAATGTTCACGGAATAATTAGAGAATAATTCCAGGGGAGATGTCTCAAGAGAATATATAATCTTACGATTTCATTTTAATAAATTAATTTAAACTTTCTAATTTTCACACCTAATATCGTTTCTCTATTAGTAATATCTTTTTTAAGAAAGGACCGACGAATGAACGGTACTGAAAAATGGTCAAAATTTGTCTAGAAGGGAATTGCAAAAGAATAAAGAAGTATAGATTCTTATAGATTTCGACCTGCTGAATCTGAAAATTACCCTTGAAAAGTTCCAAACCTTGGAGAAAGGGTTGAAAAACTACCCTTATATCAGGAATAACAAAAATCAATCCAAACCTAAAAAAGTTCCGAATTTCTTGGATTATATGGTCAATAATTTTTAATAAAGTGTTATATTATATTTTCTAATTACAAATAAGCAAGGTTTTTTACATCTCCCATTAACTCAACAACCCTTAATCGTAATTAAAAACCACCCCTATATCAACCCTTGAACATAAAAGTTTTAGAAGATACGGGTTAAAAACAAAATCATTTTGCTAGATTCATAATTCCTATTTAGAAATATGCAATGATAGGTGCTGATAGAGTATTAACGTATTAAAGAGAATATACATGGAAGTACCATAAATTATTCCTGGTAGAAATGATAGAATTCATAACTGATAGTGAGTTAAGAGATTTGTTGAAATTTACTATCTTAAAGTTTTATCACCACTGTCTATAAATAAAAAAATAGTCAACCATGTTGATTCTCTGTACCATTTGATGAGAAGTAGACCATTCTCCACAAATATATACTGACAGTAGGGACCCCATTATCCGGACAAATTTTAAATATTTTTTTTAATTATAGAGTTTATAAGGATTTAATACCATAAATTTTGAATTTTCACACAAAACGTTGCGTTTAACTTTAAGAGTTTTAATTCTATAATTCATCCCAAGTGCATTAAACTAACAACTGATTGATGCTTGCTCAAAATCTTTGATTAGAAAAGAAAAGTACCACCATCATGTTAGTCATGAACTAATGAAATTGTAAAGAAGTGACGTAGTTTTTCAAAAAGATATGTATACCGGAAAACAGCGTATAAACAGTTACCAGAAATCCTTTTCAAAAAATTTTCCAAAAGACATCGAAAATTTTTATGTGGGGAATGATATCTTTTTACAATAATAGTGAACAAAACAAGATATCTTGAATCTAAAACCGGCAAAAAGAAATTATGCATTTTTAACAAGAATTATGTAATTAATACGCTTTCATTTTTAGACACATACTTCTATATTATATATATATATATATATACATATATGAAAAAGGTATTAATTATCTCATTATCTGGAGAGAAAAATAGTTGAAAAGATTGTCATCATTTTTACTAACACCATAAATTTTATATATACGTAAAATTGAATTTTCTTCTTTATCTTTTTTCTATCAAATTATCTAATGACTTTTCAGTAAAATTGTCCTCATTATAATTTTTAATTAAAGTTATACTTTTTTTACTGATTAGATTTTACTTTCACCTATTTGAATTCTATATAAATAAAGTTATTATTTCGAAACGAAGAAAAAACAAACCGTTATAAAATATACTTTCATTTTACGATTATTCCCAATAATGTGGGAAATATTTATTCTGTAATAATTTTCAATAACTATAAGTAAGTCAATATTTACATTCGTTTATAATTTTATTAACTAATAAAAGTGAAGGGCAAATTTTTTTAGTTTGCGCAGAAAATGTTTTTTCCATGACAAAAATAATTTTATGGACCATTCGTGAATGAGAAAAATGGAAAGACATACGATATGCGTATTATGGGCTAATAGTGCGTAATACATTCCAAAGATTGTGCAGCATCTACATAAACATAGCAAACTGTGAGCGCAATCTCAAATGTATATGTACACATTCTTATCGTTTCCATAGCATTTAATTATCCAATTAAACATTGTCATCTGCGATTAACGTCACCTGGAACATGGCTGGCACGGCTGGCATTTGCGAAAATTGGAGAATAAAATTCGTAGAGCGAGAGTCGATACAATTAGCGACGAAATCGGAATAAGCGAGAGCAGTTCCTTGGAAGAGTAACTCCCGCGGATTACCGGTTAAAATGTCGTTAAAGGGAAAACTCACGGTCCGCATCGACAATATCAGCGACACATAAATATCCGATCCGGATCTCCAGCCACCAATGGCAACCAATGGCAACCAATGGTAATCGCATACCTTGCACTCTGATTTTAAATTCACTAGCTCCGTGGTTTAAACTTTAAAAGTCGCCACTAATCACATGCTCGACTGGACTCGACTGGACTCGACTACTCCCAATGCAGTATTTAGGTTCGCAACAGTTCGCAACAGTTTGCAATTTGCACTGCAAAACACACGCGAGACATTGCAGATCGCGATTCTCGCTAAAGTCACCAGATTAACGACGCGCCTGCGGGTGTTGGGACTCTAAAGCGATCTTGTAACTTCTTTACTCAACTGTTCGCCCTGTTCACTATCTTCGGGGCACAAGAAATTTGGAAAAAAGTCTACACGGCTTACCAACAACTTTTCAATAATTATTGGTCGAAGCATTTTTGTAATGCCATCAGGTATATACTTTTGCGTCATATGTATGTTAAAAATATCTCCTCCCCTTTTTAATGCCATACACAATAAAGTGCCCTGAGTACTTTGTGTTGCAGGGTCGTTATTACTTCTATTAAAACGGTCAGCATTATTGTAGCAAGTTTAGCATTGTAGCAAGCTGGAATAGGAATTAGAATACAAGTTCCATTTCATTCACGACATTCTCCTACTTTCAATTCCGCAGATATAAAGTTCGGTTCTAAGCTTTTTGGAGGTAACACGTACCGAATCTTTTCTAAAAATTTATTAAATATTTACTTGCAAAGTTTAGTGAAAATTGTTGTAAATGTGTTTGGAAAATATTTTAACTTTTGGCAAAGTTATAAAGGTTTGAAATCAAAAGCGTTCAATGGTTAAACGATTTTATATGGAACTGCTCAACGGCTATTCTGTGCGGAATTCCCATACAGAACGGATGCGGTTATTACAGCTGCATTTTCGGGCGTAATCTCGGGTTTCACGATTACAGGCATCACAGTCCCTTTTATCTTCATAAAAGGTGAAAAGAGGCATTTTTTCCTCAAACAGGGGACAAAAAGATGATAAAAAATATACCAAACAACAAATTAAAATATGTTAAAAGTTATATTAACAATGTATTAATACTTAATGTATTGTATTATTAATCAAATGTTTTGGAAGAAAAAATATTTAAAACTTACAAAAATTTATTTGTTTATACAACTTGCATATATATGATTCAAATTTTTTATGAATAAAATTTTTAAAAATGATTCAATTTCAATCCGGGTTGTCAAAAAAATTAAATTTTGTTTCTCCCTGACTTTTCCCTGATTTCCAAAACAAAATTTTGACTTTTTCCCTACTTTAAAAAATATTCTGATTCAGTCTCAAAAGTATATTAGATACTCAAAATGTTCTCTTACATTTAGTTACGAATTTCTTTAATTGTTAAATTTTTCGAAAACATCAATAACTTTTTTTAAATAAATATTTAATCATTATTAGTTTTCCATAAGAATTGAAATTCTTCAAAAGATTCAAATTCACACTTTTTTGAAATTCAACAATTTATAATAATGAAGGATGACCCAGTGATGAAATCATTATTTTATATTATAAAAATATTGTTACTATAACTTTTTCAAAATTATTTCCATTATTTCAATTCAATTATTATTTTCTACACGGGTTTTAACTAAAATTCTTCTTTAAATCAATTACTTTCAATAATTTTTGAAAAACTTCTTTGAGAATTTTCAAATCCATTTGTTAATAAATAAATTTTACGGAATTTCATCGATTATTCGGAAATTGTTCAATTAAATATATGTTAGAAAATAAAATCCGCCAAATTAGTCAAAAAAAATTCAATTAAAGTTTCTGAAAAAGATAATTTCTACAAAATTGTTAGTTAAAAGTATGAAAAATTCAGTAGGTATTCAAAGTTTTTAATTTGAAATCTTTTGAAAATTGAATTATTTCTAAAAATTCATGCCATAATGATTTTTATATTCACTTATTATATTTAAAATTGTAACTGAAATCCAAAACAGTAACATAACTCTTTATTCTTAATGTCAAACACCCAGTTTGTATAATTATACATTTCCAATCATTAACATAAAAATGTGCAAAATATCCGAAAAATGCAAATAAATAATGCGGTTCTAGTCCTGCGGACTAGCGGAATTAAGAAAGTAAAAGTTTAAAAATATAAATAATTACTTAGTGTTTTGCAATTTTGCAACTTGATCGTGGGAGAAGAAGGAGGATCTTGTATAAAAACTGGGTGATGAAAGGAAGACGTACGTCCTTAATGTCATAGGTTAGGCCAAGCTTATAGCAGCGAGAGTGACGTGCGTGACGTGTAAAATATGACATAGAATATACTTGATTGCGGAATCAAGTGGATGATATTCCCTCTTGGGATTGCGTCCGATGATACGATAATATAATGATCCGTTGAATATATGCAGATATCGAAACTCAAAGTCACATCCGTGCATCTTCTTGACATTTGGATTACATTCACTTGAAACTTTTTCCTATGACCACCTATGACTAATAAGTACGCATCTAACTTGTTTCTTTCTGACTCTGTGCAGGTTCAAGTGTGACTCAGGATGGTGTCGAGACGAAAAATACTTTCCCGCTCCAGGGATAACCTGGCGGACACACAGTACGAAGAGCAGGAAGAAGAAGACGTCTGGTATAATTTAGACAAGTTGTTTAAGGTAATATTATTGTTCCTTGATAATAGTGCTTATGTGCTTAGTTAATAAAGAGACCTATCATTTGGAAACGATTTTCAAAGCAAACTGTTGTTAAAATTAACGAGTGGATTTTAAGGCTCGTCTTTACTTGTATTGTCATCTGTCGGGACTAATAACGATTCGTAGGTTTTCGAGGTCGTTGCTGATGAATGTGACATATCAGCTTTCCAAAATTCAAAAGGGCCGCTCCAATATGGCGGACTTTTTTTAAATGACGGAGTTTGCATAAAACATGTTACTAAAAGATCACTAAAGGATCACTAATTACGAATTTTAAAAATTAAAAATTTTTCATCAAAAATGGAGGTTTTTTATTAATAATTTTTCGAAAAGGAATTTTGGGAATTATTGAATACTAATCTGGCATCAGACTTTTGATTTACTAAATCGAATAAATTTAAATCTTGATTAAATTTAAATTAATTGGAAATTATTATTTTTATTTAAAACTTTAAATTATATTGTAAATTTTTATAGAGTACCTAAAATAAATTTGGCGAAAATAGAATTTATATTTTTAAATAACCATCTGATAGGTACATTGAGAAAATATTAACAGAATACTAAATATTTTTATAAGAAAAAAATTATTATTGATTCGTAATGACCTGGACCTTTACTTCCATACGACTGTCGTAAAAATATTTAAAATTTTGACTGCGAGGGGAAATTGCAGAGTATTAAATTTTACTTCAACTGACCTCAAGTTCAAGGGATTGTATACATCAATTTTGCAATATATTTTATGAAAACTAAACTACAGCCAATCCTGTTACTATAAATAATGTCAGGAAGTACTCAATATATTTCCATCCTTTTTGAACTTCACTTTTCAAATTTAGGTATAAAATATGTAATGAAATATTTTTATATTTGTAAATTTTAAAAATTAATAATATTTAAAAAGTAAAAGTTAGGATGTGAAGCGGATATTGTAGGCCAAGTTTTCATTAATAAATTGCATAAAAGAAATGTTATAAAATGTTGTCATAAGTTTAACATTTTATTGTCTGAATTATTAAACTGAAAAGTAGGAGATTAAATAATGTAAAATTTTTTTCTTTACTTTCTCGCACAGCTCTAAAAGGTCTCACAGACAAATTTAATAAGAATTAATGTACTGAAAATATATTGCAGTTTGCAGTACAAAATCCATCGTAATATATTTAAGTAAAGTGCAGAAAGTGCAGAAAGTGCAGAAAGTTGAATTTATTACGGAACTAGGAAGCACTTAAAATCGATTGTAATCTGTAATCAAATACACGAATCGTACAGTTAGAGAAGAAATAAATTTTGCCTTATAGATTTTGTAATTTCATAGGGTGCGTCTCTCAGGTTTCAGATAAATTTATAAGTAAATTTTATTTTTAAATTTACCTTTCAATAATTAATTATTCATCATAAATTTCGGATTTTTGTGAAACAGATTAATACAACTGAAATGGAGAAAAATTCTGAAACACTGTTTTTACCCACGCTCGCTGATAGTCATGCCAGTTATAGTTTGTGCAGCAATATTTAATGATTTTCAATTTGATTATTTAATTCAAAATACTTGCCTCAATTAATTTTCATAACAGTTATTATGTATTCTAAATCATGTGTGAGAGTTTTATCGTTTCATGGTCGTTTTATTTGGAAAAAAACTGTTACGAAACAAATTTTCTGGACACTATGCACTCGTTTTAAAATTCGAAATGGACAAAAATAATTTTAAATTTCATTGGAACTTGTTAACTAGGCCTCGGATCGACTTTAATGGATAAAAAAGGCGTTCTAATTCATCCAAAGTACAAAACTAGTCGAAAAAACTATTAACAAAATAAACGACTTTTTCGACTAGTTTTGTAAATGAAAATTCGATTTTGGTTTTCTCTGACTTTTTCATGATTTTTCGTTCTTATCCCGATAAGAACTTAATTCTAAATGTTTGTAAAATGCATTTATTTTAAAATAATTTTTTTCATATTTTCCTTCAAAAACTACTATTTTCCAAAATTCAATTATTTTCCTGAATTCTTAACTTCAATTTATCTCTAAATCAATTGTTTTCAATAATTTTGATAAATCTACTATATTCCACCCAAAGTCGTTGCGGAAAAATTTGCTTTTTCTATAAAAGTTGAAGGTAAATTTTCTTTTGGAGAACGAGCTACTTTTCAAGTTTATGCAGTTTAAAAATTGATTTTAGTCGTAATGAGAAAACCAACTTCAGTTTTGCAAACTTTAGTTGTTTCAGCCTTTAATTTCGATTTTCGGAGAAGATTTTTCAAATTAAGTAAACTCGAATAGTAAATCATTTCCAAACACCTTTACGGGATGAAATTGAAGATTTTTTAAATTTGAAAAGAAAAATCTAAAGTTGTCAACGAATCGTTTTCTAAATTATGTTAGAATGAATCAAGTATTGCCGGAAGAAAGCATGCAATGAAACTTTAATGAACGGTGTCATTAGGTCGAGAGCGTAAGCATCCGATTTTAAAAGTCAGTATTTCATTTTATGTATATGAAGATGGACATGAGCGTTGATGTGTTAACAACAAAAACAAATTTATGCATCGTTCTTATTCAAGATTTTTTAAGTAAATTAATTAAGTTTAAAATTTGACCGTTAAATGTATTTTCAGAATATTATAAATTAAATTAAAATAAATTAAAATAAATAAAAAATTGAATTACATATAATATTAAATTATTTGCCAATGAAAATTAGTAATTGAAGCAATTTCTCTTTTAGGACCACATACAAGAAGTGTTAGATAAATGGAATCAAATAGACGATGAAATATGGGCGAAAGTAATTGTCTTCGAGAGAAACAGAAGGGTAGCGAAAGCATATGCGAGAGCACCTGTCCTCACTGTAAATGGGTCAAACGATGGCTTCGATGGTTTCAGGTAACACTATTTTCAATATACATATTCCTTATTCCACGATTTTAACGCTCTTCTAGATTCAGGTGAAGATTATTGAAATTTCATAATTTATAGAAAGTTTCACTCGCTTTACCATATTTTTTGTAGACAAAAAATTCATCTTTTTCTTCAAATTGAGACATAAATTCTTTCAAGAGAAACATTTCCCGATCATTTGGAAATCCGAGCATTTTTTTCATAATTCTTGTTTCCTTTCTTCTACTTTTAATCTAATGTAGTCTTTTAGAAGATAATTATTCTTAAAAATTAATAAGTTTATTAATTAATTTCTACTTAATAATATGAAAAAATGTATTAAAAATTAACCCAAACACTCGTGTGTTAGGGTTTTTTAATCTCACGGTAAAAATAATAGGGGGTAGAAAAATTAAATTTTAAAGGTTCATTGTTCAGTTTTTTCAGTTTTTCAGATAAAGAATTGAATTTAATGTCAGATTTTGAAAATTCAAAATGGCAGATTGCTGTAAATAATTTTTAAAAATTGAATCATTTGGAAATTTTGTCAAATTTTATATTTTGAGACGTTATCATATGGCCACAATTCAACTGTATAGGTATACGGGAAAACTATGTACAAAATAAAGTGCATACTAGCAAATTTTAAAAATAAAATTATTAAATTAAATCTATAACTAAAAATTTAAACTGCATTCCGTCAAAGTGCAAACGCGGGAAAACTACCTACACACTATTAAAAATTAAAAATTTTAATTAATTTAAATTCTGCATACCGTTAAAAATAAGCTTGTGTGGAGATATGCAGCTCAAATTAATTTAATTTTTTTAAAGTTTGTAATTTTTAATCATGTAGGTACAGTTTTCTCGTATGCAGTTTAAATCAATATAATTTTTTTAATTTAAAATTGTAATTGTTAATCGTGTACAGTTTTAAAATTTTATTTTAATGAATATAATTCTTTTAATTTTAAAAATTATTTTTAAATATAATCGTGTTTCTGAAGAATTCTAATTGAAAATTTGGAACATGATTGAATTTTGAAAAAATTTAGAATTAAGGAAATCGTACATAATAAAATTTGTGCACATTATAAATAGGACTAAAAACAGTCTTTTCAGTCGTCACATTTAATTTTTCGATAACTACTTTTTTACTACTTCTTTTCAGTCTTAAAGGTGCTTTTTGCTACTTTTTAAAATTAATCAACGAGTGCGAAGCCTGATGTACATACCGCCATAAAAATTGCTACAACTTTTGTGTTGCATATTTCTTAAAAAGTTTTCTGGAACAGTAATTTTACGATACTAAGGAACATTTTTAAGCAAAAAATGGATTTTTTTTAAATTCTTGACCAGAAAGTCCTCTAAATAAATATTAGTACTCTTAAAATTTGTGTTTAAAAGAGGAATTATTTTTAAAAAATGCTTCGAGAAGGATAGTACGGATTGAAAATCATTGAATTCGTTTTTTGTCTCCAATCTCAATAGTCTTTAGTCTTGTCTGAATCCGCGAACTAAATTTTATCAAGAGTTTCTAAAAGACAAGTAAAAAGAATGATCGTCACGGATCTTTCAATTACGCTTCAAGATTTCTACTCTCTCAATTGAAGAAACGTATACCGTTCAATGCAATTCTCGATTTCCGGGACTCAAAGTCAGAGAGATATTAGATCCTATCAAATTTCACGTTCAGAAGAAAACCACATAAATGCAAATCACGTTTCCCATCATCACGAATTCCAATGAAATTGACAATTCAAACATAGTGAGGAAAAAATACCAAAGTTAAACATGTCATTGGAAAAATGCCATTATTTTTCTCATTATTTCTCTCTCTCTCTCTTTTTTTTTTTTTTTATTGAAACGAGTTGTGTCTCTCAGGAGTCATTGAACGATTACGATTTGCTTTCATTGAATTGGTGCCAAGTAAACAAGTCTAGTTGCTTGAAAAAAAATTGTTAAAGAGGTCTAACTGGTTTCACTTTTTTACAAAAGGAATTACTTTTCAAACTGCTTGATAATTTACTTGAGCCTTTCATTTGACAATATGCATAAAATTCAAACTAAGATTTCAATTTTAGGGGAATTTTTTAAAAATTTTTTATCATTTCTAAAACTGACAATTATTTCTACTCTCATTTATATCTAATTTTTCACACAATATACTTTTTTCTGTTATCTTGAGTATCTAAGGATTTTGCACTTCTTCATAAAGTGTTTTAAAATTTTCTAAAAGTAAATTTGCCAGTAAAATTAGTCTTTCTTAGCTCTCTCCTTAGAGACACTTAACACTATATTATACCTTGTTAACACTTTCGCCTTTCACGCCACGTTAAAAACTTTTACACTCTAAACTCAATGATCTAGAATTGCGACTTTAAAATTGTTTTCATTTTTTTCTCTTCTTCTTCTTCTTGGTAAATATTTTTTAAAGGCAGTTATAGGTAAATTAAAAATTACTTAATAAATGAGTTTCTTTTCATATATTCCCAATGAGATTGAGTGCGTGTGGAAAAAATTATTACGATGTGTATAAAATTTAATGAGTTTGACATCCTTATTTTTTAAAGGAATAAAAATGGAATTCTTAAATAAAAAGTTACAGCTCATATATACAATATTTGTTGAAAAAACTCAGTTTTTTCGCCTTTTCAAACAATCACTGAAAGTTGCGAAAATAGAACATTTTTTTATGCTGTGACCTGATATTCTTGATTTTTAATTGTTTTCCCTGGAGATAATTAATTCTGCAAAAAATACAACCCGATCGCGTAAGTTTTTAAATTTTTTCAGACTGAAACGCGCGGGTTGTTTCTCATTCACTATAATAGGATAGTTAATAATATTTAAATTACGTACTTGTATTAAAATATAAACTGCAAAGAGAAAATTCATTTTTAATTTTTCAAAATGAAAAAGTATTAATAAGAATTTGTCATATGAACTTTTCTCTTTTTTCTTAAAATCAGGATTTTTATTGAACTTTGAAATTTTTAATTCCAGCTTAGGTCAAATTTTGATTAGAACTATAAGAAACGAATAATATACAGTCATGAAGTTAAGTTCTCAAATATTTAACCAATATTAATGAAGATAGTATTCACAATTATGAATTGATTTTTTTAAAAAATAATTAAAAATTATTTTATTTAAAATTTGATAAAACTAATATTTAAATTTTTTAAATATTAATTTAGGTTTACCTATATGTAAAAAAACATTTCCAAATTTATAATTTATTTAATTTTAATAAAAATCATTTATTAAATTTTAATACTAACTTATTAAATTGTTTAAACAATTTAATTAATTTTGCATTATATTGAATAATAAATCTGTAAATTTTTCATTCTTTTCTCAAATCATGTACAATTTTTTACAAAATGAAACAACTATAATTTATTATTTCAAAAATTTTGTAAACAATTAATTATTGTCAATTTTGCATATATATTAAATTTAATAAATGTAGACTAGACACATGCAGTTTTTTCTCAAAATTAAAAAATTTCTAGGTTTTTCTCAATTCAGAATTTTTTTATGGATGAAACAACTAAAAATAAAAGGAAACTAAAAAAGATTTTTTTACAATTGTTTAAACAATTTATTTTTATTAATTTTTAACTTTATTTAATTCGAAGCTAGTAACTACTATTTTTTATCTACAACTTCTTATGAAGAGTGCAACTAATAAAGAGAAACTATTTAAATTATTTTTACTGTTATTTAAACAATTTAACATTGTTAATTTTGAAATTATTTGAAAAGTGCGTATTGTTGTCATTTATTACTTCCATGTAAATAACATAACGAATAAAAATAATATTTCAGAGAATATAAATTTAATTTTTAGTATGAATTAAAATTGTTTAATTATCATTGTACAGTAAAAATGAATTAACTTATTGAAATTAAAAACAATTATTTCAATGAAATTTAGTAATTTAAAAAAAAAAAATTTCTCAATATGTAATTCTCTTAATCTTTAGCAAAATTGAAAACATGTGTATTTTTGAATTTTACAAAACTAAACTTATTAATTACAAGTTTGAAAAAATTATCGACCTTATTTGTTATAAAAGTATTGGTAAATATATTTTTCAATCCTAGGACCACTAAAATTTGCACAAAAAATTCTGTGTCTCATTAAGTTTAGTTATTTTCAATAATTTTCAATGTACTGAAAATTTGCCTACTTACGAATTTCAGGATAGGACTCTGCGGCTTCGACAACCCGATGAGAAATGCAAAAACAGACGAGGCCAAAAGACACATAAATCAGGGAGTGAAAATAAAAATGGACGAGCAAGGCAACATCCTCATAAGAAGGTTATGCAAAAGCAACGTCTACGTAAGAGCCACAAAGCAAGATGACAATGCAATTGGTTCGGAAATTTTACGAAATCCACAAGGTGCCCTGGAACACGAAAAACCGGGAAAGGTATCCACTTTTATGTTTTATCAAAGATGATTAGTGACGCTCTCGATTCGGACGATTAGTTTTATTTGTTCAATTCCTTTATAACTAAATTTATTTGTTTTCTTTAACCGCACAATAGAAAAAAGTCTTTTTATTTTCAACATTATTAGACTTTCTACTCTTTTTATTTACAGTTGTTCGATATGGTCAAGTTTCAAACAAACTTACTGCGTGAGACGACCAGAGCTTATCCAGACAGACGGAGACTGGAAACGCAATGTCTCAGCGCGATAGTTTTCGTTCGCTCAGAAAACGATGTGTTGCAATGTCCAATTTGGATCCTTGTTATCAATGTCGTTGGACTGGACATGTTGAAGTCGAAACTACCGCCAGGTAATAGAAAACAAGTAAACAACATTCAGTTATCGGCAAGTGGATCAAGTGGGACTTATTTTTAATTATTTCAAGATCCTTTGCATTCTACTGTTATCTCTCTTTCTCTCATATTTCATTTATACTGTACTCGCTGTACTCCACAATTTCACCTATCTTGCAACCTACCAGATTACCCACAGTACATGACTCTTTCTATTCACTGTCCACTTATTCCCAACTTTATCACCCACCCCATCATCCACTATCTTATCCAAACATATTCTCTCTCTACCTATTTTATAACCACATTTCTCTTCTCTTCTTCTAGGATCCAGTATCAATACCTCTTTGTTATTTTTCTCCTTTCCCGATTCCCGCTCGTTCTTAAATTCTCCTTCTACCCCCCTTTGATGACAAGCCTTCGACTCAATCCAATCAACCTGCCTTCATCCTGTAGTCGCAATTATTTTTATTTTCTCCTACTCAGGGCTCGAACTAAGTCCGTAAATTCCGTAATTTCATTAAAAAAGGACGAAAAGTTCGTAAATTGTACGATATAATTTGGAGAATTTTAGAGAAATTACAAATAATTGCAGAAATTCAATTATTTTCAAAAGTCATCAAATTCTTCGCAGAAATTCAATAATTGAATTATGTTCAACATTTTTTTTAAATTCCCGTTAAAAGTTCCATTATTTTTTAAAATAGGTAATAAAATTCTCCGAAATTTAATTATTTACAAATTTTTTATAAATTTCTTCGCAATAATTCAATTACTTTCATAAATAATAAAATTTTTTCAAAATTCAATTATTCTCGTATTTAAATATTTGAATTCTTGTTGAATTATCTATTAAGAATTGATTTAAAAATTAATTTCAGTTAATATTTTAGATTATAATCGAATATTAAAAGCATTATAGCATGATTTTTTAAAAATAATTGAATTTTGAAATTAATTTTTTTGAAAAAGTTTAATTGAATTTTTTAAAATATTATTTTAAGTTTTTATTTTCTGATATATATTCAATTAAAGAATTTCTGAATAATAAAAATTTCATAAAATTGAATATGAAATGAATAATATAGAATGAATTTGAAAATTGTCAAACAACTTTTTTTAAAATTATTAAAAATAATCTATTTAAAGAAGAATTTTAGTTAAAAAATTCTTGAGAATAATAATTGAATTGAAATTATGAAAATAATTTTGAAGAAGTACAATATTCTTATAATATAAAATAATGAATTTATCACTGGGCTATCTTCATGTTTGATAGTTATGGAAAAATTTTAAGTAAAATGTTCTCTTATTTGACACGAATAACTGGTTATATTTTTTGTCAGTAATTGGTGCGTATAATTTTTCATTTTGGTCCGTAAAGTCCGTATTTTTAAATACTTGAACTGGTTCGGGCCCTGTCTTCTCCATGCTCATTTATTTTTTAACATTCTTTTCTTTCATCTAAATTATAAAAGAATAGTTTTCGTCCTTATAGTTGTAAGTTTTCAAGACCCATAATTATAAGGATTACGAAAATCTTTCTCAAAAAATTATGATTTAAAACTTTTTAACTTTGATTTGCAACAGCTTATTCTTAAAAAATCTAAAATATACCCTATCCATTTTAAAAACTTATTTTTCATCATTAATACAGAGGATGAGTACTTGATTTGTTGTATAGAAAAATAGGTATAAAATTACTCTTGAGTAACTATTATATTTTAATTTGTCTGTAAATGATCCTTTTTGCCTAATTCTTAATTTTTTTCGTAAGAAAAGACCTTTATTTGAATTTGAAGACTATAATAGAAAAGAAATGATTTTCAGTAATGGCAATGCAGAGGCCCGTAGATATTAAGAATCGACCTAGAATTCCGATTCCCGACGAGGATCCCTACAGCGTGGCAGGAATATCCTCGTCCTCAGGACCCAGTGACACTTTACAAATGAGTAGAGACTCCCGGGAACAAATCTACGTCCAATCGGGATATCCGCAGCGGCGAACCGAGAAACCTCCTAAGCTTCCTCCGAGAGAAAATCTCTATGGCCATGACATTCCCAAGGTAACTGTGTTAAATTAATTTTTAAATCACTATTTTTATCTAATTGAAATGATTGAAATAATCTAAAATAATCTAAAATTTACAGCCCGACTATGATGACCTCGAGGATGATTATCGAAATTCCTCGAGACCTCCTGTAATATCTAACGGCGAGAAGAAGAGTAAAAAGGACGATAATAAAAAATACGGTTCGTAATCATAATTATTCTGTTTAGGTAGAAAAAAGTACCTTGAAAGTTACACAGAATTATTTCACAATTCGGAGGATGCTGCAAGCTGCATACTTAATAATCCTTTCAACTACTTCTGTTTTGTAACAATGACCATAGAATATGAATTAGTATTTCGCGATTTCATCTCAATGTCACTGCAAACGAGTCAAAACATACTTTACATATTCCTTTTTCAAAACAATGCTTCTGTATTAGACAAAGAAGAATTAAAAATCTAAAAATTTATACTATTTTGATGGGCAATGATAAATGAGAAAAATTTTTTTTTAAATTTCCTATTCACCTTAGAAAGTTTGGAAAAAATTGAAAAGTTTTTAGATAATATTATGACTGGATAGAACTAATTATCTGAAACTTTCACTTCGATTGGAAGTATTGCGGCGCAGACATAAACGAAACGCGCCCTGTGTACATACAATGACAACAAATTAAATGTTACAATCAAAAGTGAATTACTGAAATTAAATTATTATTAAGGAAGCAATATTTTGACAGCTATATTGAAATTTTTGTTGAAAAAGTGTGTTTATCTTGCAGACGATCCCTATTATTGCGGTTTAAGAGCGCGAGTACCTAACTTTGTGAAAATGGCAAAAAATGGTCACGCCAAGCACACCATAGTAACATCTCCGTATGGACACGCTAGACCACAACAAGCTCCAACTTATATTGCCACTGGATATGTTCATGCACATTCTGGTCAAATATACGGACACCACGTTCCAATTCCAGAGAAATATCAGAAGAAGCCTTCGATCATGTACCACGCCAGAAGTATGGAAAGCGGTCTGGGTACGTACGTATGACCCATTTTTTTAAATCAGGATTTTAGAAATCTCTTCTATCTATACCAGGAAACGATTATTTTTTTTATCAATTATTACAATGCAAATGTCACCCATCAAGAAAATATTATTTCAATCAAACATCCCAAAATAAATATACATATCCTATTAGAAATCTATTATTAATTGTGTAATTTTTTACTATTTTGAGGAAAAAGCAAAATTTAAGTTTTATTTTAAATTATTTCCATGTAACTACATGTGATTACAGGTCAAAAAATCCAATCCAAAAAATCCAAGAAAAAAAGTCCAAAGTACTTTTTGTATACTTTCAAAATAAAAATGTCCAAAGTCAAAAGAATGTTATGGTAATAATGGGTACTTTATTCACCTGCACGGAGAGAAAAAACGGGGCTTTGTAGCACGCAGTGGTCTGTGGCCTACTGCCTTACGGCGTAAGCACGAACTTTGATCTCGTGAACATTATTACCCTAGGGTGAACTAATAAACATTTTTACTTCTCAGATTTTAAAACTTTTAAAAAGTTGTACCTAATTAATTAATGGGTTAAGTATTTCAGCGAAAATCGTTATTATTTTTAACATCTTCTATTTTAATAAAAGTTCTCGAAACAATTCGTCTACTTGAAAAAAATGGAAAAAATTATCCGAAAAAAGTACATTATTTTCAATAATTTATAATTTTCATAAAATTTGTTTATTAAAATTCGATTACTTTCAATACAATTGGTATTAAATTCCTCGAAAAAATCCAATTATTTTCAAAAATTTCAATAAAAATTCTTCAAAAAATTCAATTATTTTCGAAAATTTCAATAAAAATTCTTCAAAAAATTCAATTATTTTCGAAAATTGTAATAAAAATCTTTACAGGAATTCAATTAGGTATTTTCACAAATAGGTAATACAATTTTTTATAGGAATCCAATTATTTAATAAAAGTTATTAATAAAATTCGTTGCAAGAATTCAATTATTTTCATAAATAATGCAATGTTTCGTAGGATTTCAATTATTATTAATACAATCATAATTAAATTCCTAGAAAAATGCAATTATTCTTGAAAATTTTATTAAAATTCTTCGAAAGCATTCAATTATTATTTTCAAAAATTTTGATATAAAATTCTTTATAAAAATTCAATTTTAAGAAATAATCAATTATTCTATCAATTATTTATTTTTGTATTTAAATAATGTAATTCTCGTAGATAAATTTCAAAAAGAATTCATTAAAAATAAATTTCAATTAAAAGTTTAGATAATAATTAATTATACATATTAGAAGCGTTATAGTTTTAACTTTTAGTAAATAATTAAATTTCAAAAGATCTTTAAATTGACTGTCTTCATTTGTTTTTAATGATGGAAAAGTGTTACAATATTTAAACATTTATTTTAATCTATTTAGTAAACAAATTAATTCTATGACTAAAGGTAAACCTATAAAATTGGAGACTATCAAAATATCACAAATTAAAGGGAATTGAAAATTTAAATTAAATAAAAGTCACCGCTAGATGACAGTTCAATTAATAAAATCATATTTATTTATAGTTTTATAATTTAAAGATGCAGTTAAAGTGAAAATAATTTAATTTCTCTTTCAATAAAAACTTTGATATTTTTAATTTCCTATTAAAATAAAAATAAATACTACCTATTTCAGTAGTTTTTTTTTGTCAATTTAAAAATAATAATTATATTTAAATCCGATGTTGTAAAGAAAAACTTAATTTTATTTAGTGCATATTTATAACGCTTTTTATTGAAGCACACACACAAAAACATACTCATTGTATTGTAAATTATGAACATTTTATAACACTTTTGATACTATTTTTCAGTTTTAAATTCAGTCCGAGGCTGATTCCTGGTTGATTTTTGATTTCCTGAGAGAAGAATAAAAATTGTGAGAGTAACAACTAATTAAAGAATAATTTGTTTTAGATATAGACGAGCGAATTGAGTCTCCCTACAACCATATTTATGGCCGATTACCGGTTCCAACGCGTGGGGTGATACCTCCCGCACCTCGCGCCATGTACATCGGCGAATGGGACTAGATCTTAAGTTAATATCTCATCGTATCTGTATTTAAAGCCTGTATATTGTTAATATACCACATAAATACTCATCATTTTTATGACAGCACCAGAGTCGTTCTTATTTTTATTTTTTATTATTTTTTTCTTATTTTTTTCTTATTTTTTTATTATTCTTTTGTATAATGATAATTAGATAATTAATTAATTAATGTTAAAACATTTTTTAATAATAATCAGATGTAAGTATGTATAGGTCCATCTCGATAAGAATTTTTTAAATGTAAAACAATGTTTCTGAACAATCATTGACTCTAGGATTTTTCACTGTAAAAGCTACGCCGACACTTATATACTTACATTCACCATCGAGTGAATATTGTAAACAATAATACATTTTTAAATGATTTTTTTGCGAGTGAACGTAATGTAAAAAAATTTGAAGGCTAGTGCTACTACGTTGGTTGAAGAATTCCACGAGGTTTTCATCGAATTGTGTTTGTCCCTAGAGAATCAGATGAAAAGAGAAACACTAGAAACAGTTGCATTTTTTTTTAATTTTTTAATGTAAAAAAATCGACTCATCAAGCGATAAGCGATGAGCGATTTAAAAAAATGTGTACATACTACATAAAAAAATAGTTGATAATTATTAATTTTCTTTCTCTTTATTTATTACTTGCTTACATCGGTCGGTGAAAAAAATCTTTTTTTCCCATCACTTCTAGGTAAGAGAATATCATTAACTTTTAATTTTTTCATATCTTCTCATATGTTATTAAACACGCGCATTTCAGTCATTCGGAAGAAAATATAGAAAGATATATTTTCAAGTATTCGAAACAATTTTATACTTACAAGCTATAAACCATCTCACCATTATTGCCTTGTGCAAAATATAAATCTGTCTTTTTATATATAAAAATTATACATTTATTATATTACGATCGGAGTAAATATTTTAAAAAGAATGAAATGGAAAACACGATGAAAATATTCATACGTAGCTGTAAAAAAACAAGCGTGACTGCAAAGTTAATTATCACTTTTGTACTTAAAAATTAGTAAAACTTGAGTTTTATTCTTGTAGAAAAGGACATTGTTTCTGATAAAGACAAATTCTCTGTTTTTTTCTTTTTTTTTCTTTTTTTTTCTTTTTTTTCGAAAGAGAAAAGAGAAACTTTCGAGAGTCACTTCAGATACCTCTGTTCTTGAGATCTTTCACTTTATAGATTCTAACTAGCCAGTGCTCTGTTGTGTATGCTTCTTCTAGTGTTTCCAATTCAAAGTCTTTATTTCCAATTTCCATATTTCTAACTCTGTCGTATCCAGATGGTTTTCCTAAAAAATGAAAATTAAATTGTATAAATAAAGTGAAATTTTCTTCAAAAAAAAAAAAAAAAAAAAAAAAAAAAAAAAAAAACTAACAAAATTAACTTATATAAGTTTTTTGTAGAAATAAATAAGGAATGTTATAATAAAGTTGTCGTATTTTATTTCAAACTTTTCACTTGAAAACCAATCACTTATTTTTATGAAAGAAAATAATTATTATATATTAAAACGGCTTTTACACTATAATCAATATGATAATGGTTAAGTTATTTTCCAATATTTATTCTATTATATGGGTGATTCTCCTAATATTTTATGTATCCATTTTATGTATCTCCAACTTAAGTTTCATTATTTACATTAATTTTTTATTCATATTCCCTCGATATTAAATCTTTTTAAAAATTCATTTTTGATCTACGAAGAAATTATCTTCTGATTTATCTACTTTTACATATTTTTTTGTAAAGTTTACAGGAAATGTCTTCTTTAAAAGAAAATGTTTAACTATCTTTTAGTTTTAGGTAAAAACCTTTTCAACAAATTTAATAAAATTATTTTTATCAATTCAAATAAAAATTCAATTTCATCTTCGAAACCTCGTTTTCAAGTCAATAACATCTTATTCTTAAATGGTTTAAACATCATTTAACGTTTTCCCTGGCTCCTATAAAGAAATTCAAGAAGAATTCAATTATAATTCAGTCTAAGTTCCCTTGATTATTTTCAAAAAATCCAATAAAGTTCTTCAAAAGTTCAATAGGTATATACTTTGTAAAACTAAAAACAATTAATTAGTTAATATCTAGTTAATATTTATTGGTTCATCGACAATTTTTTTACTAGCTTCTTTCATAATTTTGAACAAATCATTGGTATGGATTTCTAAAAATTTCAATTTTTTAAAAAAGACCAATTTCAACTTCTTCCACATTTTTTATTATTTTTCATTATCCAATTTTTTATAGGCTTTTTCATGACTAAACATTCAATCGTATGTATTTTGCAAAATTTTAATAAATATCGAAATGCAAAATTTCCACCTATCCCTCCCCTCAATAATTTTTTTTTAACATTTCAAATATCTTTAAAAAAAATAGAATTAAAATTTCTCGAAAACCATAATTCTTTTCAGAATTTTAAATAAAAGTATCAAGAACTTAAATAATTTTTTAAGCAAGTACCTATTTAATTATTAATTTTTTCACAGCAATTGATACATATTTTAAAAAAATTTTAATTTAAAACCTTCTGAAGTTGAATTATCTTTTCTGAAAATTGCAACTGCATTTAACTGCATTTAACATTTCTAAGTTAATTATAATTAAGAATTATTAAAAAAAGTTATTCCAATAACATTTCCCTGACCAATTTCATTTTATCTGACTTTTCCCTGTATTATAAATTGGACAAAAATATTGTTTTTCTCGGTTAAACCACTTCTGAGCTATGTTTAATAGTTATTTTTTTCTTATTCTGAATTTTGGACCTTAATAGCCCTGGTTGACGATAAATAATAAGAATTCTAAAAAAATTGAAACAATAAATAATAAAAACCTTACCTCCTTCTGTATACACTTGACCAAAGCGATAATAACACATTTTGTACATAAGGCAATTCAGCAAAGTGGGTGTTCCTTCTTTATCAACTCGAAACTCTCCAGCCGGATTATAATAATCCCATTCACTTATCGATTTTCCTTTTTCTGTACTACCCGCAATCCTCACCATCCAAAGGAACTTGTTTAGATCTAAAAAAATTCCCGATCGATAAACTTAAATATTCAATAATGAATATATATGTAAATGAGAATAAAACTCACCGTCAGAAGAATAGCCTGTTAAACCACCAAAAATCACAAGCACATAATTCACATCCAACTCTCTCATAATTTCAAATGCCTTTTCTTCAGAACTTGCCATTGCTTGACCAACTCTCGATATATGGGTATTATTCCACGTATTATTGTCCACTAGAATTGTCCGATTCGCCATTGCCGTTATTTGATATCCATAATCCCACCATGACATCACTTTTGCGTCCTAGCAATATGAGAAAATTCATTGAAAATATTATTCTCAAGTGTTTTTAAAGATACATTTTTATTTAGGATCAATCCGTTTTGCTTCGTTTTGGAAATTGTTTAAAACTTGCTTATTTTGTAATTACAATATTTTAAAATTTAACTCTTAATTGCCAACGATCCTCCTTATTATGATTAATGTGTCACATAAAAATTGAAAATATTATCAAGTATAGTGATAATAAAGAACAATAGACAATAGTTGCAAAAAGGTAAAAATGGAATAGCGGTCTGCCAGACCAGGGAAAGCAGTTTAAAGATTAATAGTTTTCTGTTTAAAAAATAATAAAAATATGCCTGCAACCTCTTTCTGATAAAATTCAATGAATTGATCAATAATTTTAACTGAAATATAATAAATACCTCTGGTGTGTTCATACGGAGCCAATAGTAGGCTTCTCTAAAGTCGTCGAAGATCATTCGACCTCCGTCAGGTGATCGAGCTGATAACACTATACTTGGAGAACTGTAAGCTTCAACTGTCACCCATGTGCAATGGAAAGTGTACGAGAAGAAGAGAATACACATTATAATCACAAAAAATGTGGCGATCTGAAAAAGAACAGTGATTAATAATAATGTTTATAAACATCCCGCTCAATTGTTTTTTTATTTTCGATAAAATTATTAAATTTTAAATAATTTCAGTAACTTTAACTTACTTCGCTTCTCAGCACGTAGTTGCTTTCAAATTTCTTGGACTTTTTGTCAGTGACTTTTCCACTTTCGATTTGTTTCATATACGTAAGCAACAGAGCGGAAGCACCGATTCCTCCTAAAATGCACATAACTGGCGCCAGCACCAACATCAAACGCACCATAACTCCCTACGACATTAATATTTTTAATTATTAGTTTATTAATCAAGATAAGAAACAAAATGAAGTAAAATTATGTTTGAAATTGAAATTGATGATTCTCACCGCAAAGTACAGACTGGTAGCACCGTAGAGAATGAGGAAAATATTTGAATCTGTCAACTTTGAGAAGCAGAAGTATAAGCCCGCTGGAAATAGGAACACCAGAATTTGTAAGTCGAAGTAAAATGAACTCCACGAGGTAGGTTGATGCTCCGAAACAGAGGCAATAATTGGAATGTGATTCTTAGCATAAGAAGGATCCAAAAGGGAGTAAAATCGTCCAGTCCAAGGAGATATTTTACCTGTAAGTCAAATTATGCACACAAATAGAAAAAAGATTATTATGACTTTAAAATTTATTTTTCGTCAAATCGTAAAAAAGTAGTAAATAGTAGTAAATATAAACATGATCTAATTAATAAAATAATAACATTCTTACCAGTAAAAGTCAAAATTGCACCAACTACTAAAGATGCAGTCACAGTAGAAACAACAAGGCCACGGAACAGTATTTCAAAGTCAGTTTCGGAGAGTTTACTGCGTAAATAATCAACTAACGCGTGAATCTGGCATAATCCGAAAACTCCAATTGCCTATTAACAATTGGGAAAAATATTTTTAAATTAATAATAAAATGAAATTTGAATTTATATTATTTAAAAACAAAACAAAACAAAATAAAACAATTACCAGCATATGCTCTGAACTTTGAACTGGTTGAAATCCGACAAATGGAATTTGCATTGAGAGAATTGTTCCCAGACAATACAAAACGCTGTAGGCGACGTAAATTCTGTGCGTGAATCTCCCAGTCACCATTAAAGTCAGCACGTGGAGAGGAATGAGATTTATTAAAAAGACATATCCACCCCAAGACGACACCATATAAAAGTACGCAAGAGCTGCACACGTTGACCAAAATATTGCTCCCGTTTTAACAGCTTTAATCCACATGTAGTAGGTGAAGAGCATGCAGAATATTGCAATTCCCTCATTGTCGTAAGAGCCCGCAACGGAACGAGATATATATCCTGGGACAATGGCAATCATGGACGCCGCCAACAATCCAGAAGCAGAATCCTGAAAAATAATTTCATTTTTCATCACATTTCAAATGTCCTTGATATGACTTTGATGTGAGAACGAAAATTTAGTATGAATCTTCTACTCACCCGCAGTTCCTTAGTGAGTAAGTATGTAACAATGGTTGTTAAACTTGAAAATAGAGGAGCAAGGAAGACGCAAACATTTCTTATATCTATAGTAATATTTAAAAACTGTGCTAAATGGTACAAGGCTCCTGATGTCACCATTAATCCCGGATAAATGGTTCCTGAAACATTTTTTCAAAGTAAGTCAAAATTCTAACTTTTTTTTACTCTTGCAAAAACTACTATACTTTTTAGCATAATAAAAAGAAACAATTTCTATAAAAATCATATTCCCACTTTTTATTATCGATTATTTTAAGATTAATGTTAATGTTGAGAAAGCAATGAAAATTTAAAGATTGTCTAGTTTTATTTATATTTTAAAATTGAATAAATAGAATAAATTAAAAATTTAGACAAATTTCACTTTGAATCAATAGAAACTTAAATCGATGAAAATTTGTATTCTGTAATTCAAATAATTAACTATAATAATCTAGAGATTAAATATTTAAATATTAAGTTGAATAACCTTTAGGTTAAAACTAAAGTTTCTTTACCTATTTGATTATACTATATTATTATTGTTTACAACACTAGCAAACGCGTGCGTGAAATTTTAAATTTCCATTGTTAACTTAATTGTTGTTAAAAATTATTTACAACGGCAATTCTTCAAAATTTCTTCAAAAGTTCTTTTAGAACTTTTTAAATAAAATTATTCGAAATATTAATATTTTTTTAGGAAACGAATAAATTAATATAATTCTTTAAAATAAATACTTAAATATTAGTTTCTATACTTCTACAACAATTAAAATAGTATTTTTGAAGACTTATACTTATATTTTGACAAAGAATTTACAGAAACAACGTAAAATTGATGAAGTAATAATAATAATAATTTTGCTTATACTTCATCAACTTTACTTTGTCTTTCTTATTTGTACATAAACTTAAACTTAAAGAAAAAAAAATAAAAAAAAAATTTCAAGTAACATTTATCTCCACCAAAAAATGTAGTAAATAAATATTTTGAAAAATGGTTAAAATTACCTCCTATTATCCTGCCAAGAGGATACCAAACACGATCATCGAACCAATTGTAAAAATTATAAAAACCTTCTTCCACTAGGAATTTCGTCGTTCGATAATTAAAATAAGGATCAAACTCATGAATAACACTTTCGAATCTCAACACTGAGAATAAACGTGTGGCAAACGCTGAAAAAAGGTATTTTTTAATAAGTTGTCCAATTCCATTTAATTTTAATACTTGATAAATAATAAAACGAATAATTACATAAAACTGCAGCCATGGAAAGTATTGTTAACTTCAAAAGCGTCTCCTGCTTTTGGGACGACATACGCAGCCCTTTTATTTTTAAAAGACCACCCATGTTTATACTAGATACTAGAAATCTGAAAAGAAACTATTCATAACTTAACAGTGTTTAATCCACATAGGTATACTGAAACAAGTTTTTCAAGAAAAAATCAATTCTTTATTTGTAATCATTGAAAATTAATTTTATTTATTAACAGTAAGTAAACGAAAAAATTTAATACATAAAAAGCAACAATTTTTTCTACTCACAATTTTTAGTAAAATGAAATTATATATTTTTAGACACAAATTTAGACACACAATTTTCTAAATGCTATAATTACAATCTAGCTTAAAAATAAGAAAGCAAACAATAATAAACATGTTAATGTACAAACTGTCAAGAATGTATCGAACTACAATGGAGTAAACAAGTGTTAAAAACTATTCTATTCCACTGTAGAATGAAAGAAAGAAAAAATAACATACTATTTGGATAATTAAGAAGTTTGTTTATATTAAATACGTACTATTAAATTTTAATTTCAATAAAAAAAATATAGCTAACAGAAGAATTTTGAGAGATATATATGTATGTACTTGAACTCGTATACCGCAAATAACCGGCCGGCAAAAGGAGTAAATATTAGCAATAAATTACTAAAATGGTGAGTTTTCCAGGTCAGATTAATTGGAAAATAAAAAGAGAAAATCCGAGTACTTACGAGTTTTTAAAAAATTGATTTAAATTATCCTAAACATTTAGGAATTATAAGAGGATCACTTGAATCCAAAAAAGTCCTTGAACCACGCAAGCAGGCAGTAACCTAACCTCTGGAAATTTTAGTGATAATGAAGAGAGTAGTCTTGCCGACAATTGAAACGTGTCAATCTCTGATTTAAAAGTTTTCAAAATTTCCCTCCCATTCTAATGAATTAAATAGGGAAAAGGGAAGAGTGATTTTTCCCAAAAAATTAATTAACAATTTAAATATTCAATTGAACAGCAGAAATTACTAATATTAACTTTAATCAAGTATGTATTTATTTGATTGAAGATTTGATTATTTCTTAAAAAAAGAAATTAAGAAGCTAAAAAAGGACGAATAATTATTTTTATCGAGGCCCAGCTTCCACTTGATTGCGGAACGGACGACGGATCAAGTCACGGAATCAAGTCAAGGCCAACGCAGAATGAATACGAATAGGTAAAGGCCTTTCTACAATATAATCCAGAGCAGGAAGGATAAACAATATACCTTTCCTTTTCTAAATCATTCTTCCGTTTACGATTACGATTACGTTTTTATTCTGCTTTGGTCACGACACCCGCTATTAAAAACAATAATAATAATAAATAAAAAGAACGGTATCAAATAATATATGTTTTGGTCGTATGTAGTTATAATTAAAATTCTTCAAAAATTTGATTATTTTGCTTCCTCATGAGGAAGCTTTGCATTGGTGACGATTTTCAATTTTTCAAAACAAGGTTATATGGACTCATTTTCATCTAGAACATATGTATATTCAATTATGAGCAAATGTCCAGATGTATGTGTGTGTGTATGTATGTGTGTATGTGTGTGTGTGTGTATGTCACAAAAATTGTGTACAAATTATCTCAGACAAATTTTGATGGATTGTCCTGAAATTTTGCAGGTTTATTGCAGTCATTAATACCTGAAATCTGACACAAGGATTTTCAAAAATATGTACAAAATTTTTTTTTATACAATTTTTTTAAAATTCAGAAAATTTTTTTTTTTGTATTTTCTGAAATAATTTTTTTATTTGTTAATATTTTTATTAATTATTCTCAAAATTACATTCCTGGCAAGAAAACGAATCGATTGATGTATACAAAGTATATATTTTATCAAAATTTATAAAATTAATAAATATTTTTCTTTTTCACAAAAAATTCAAATTTGGTATTTTTTTCATAATTAATTTAATATTAATATTAATATTTTGAAATGATTATTCTATCATAAAATAGAAGCAATTGGCAAATGAAAGTGTAAATTTCACCAAATATTTATACAACAACTTATAAATGATTTATATAATTTTATTTTTAACCAATCTTCTGGACATAAAATTTTGTACATAATTTTTCAAAAGTTTGCAAAACCGCAATTTTTATATATTGAGGAAGCTTAATGGTCATAAAATGAACAACTTGTTTATTTATATTTTTCAAAAATTCAATTTTTTTCTAAAGATTTTACCTTTCAATTGTATATAATTGAAAAACTATTATCTTTCAAAAATTATTTTAAAAAACTAATGGTACGAGTTTCTTTATTATAATTTGTTGAAAATATTATACCTAATAATAACATAAGAAAAAACATATACCTAACATAAAAACATAGTTACAATTATTATAAAAAATTGAATTTTTTTATTTAAATTTTTCAAGTCTCGAAGAACTTTTGGAAAATTATTTTAAATAATTGATTTAGAGATGAAGTTTAGTAGAAAATTGTAAAAAATAATTTAATTCTTTATAATTGTAATTTTTAGAAATTATTCAATTTTAGTAATTTTACATATATTCCGTAAACTTTCATATTTTCCTGTATAATGAAATTAATAGTAATTTTACTTTTAAGTTTATATTTTATTTATCAATGAGATTGCTGTTACAGGAAAAATCTTTAAATAATTCCCTATTGTTTTATACAATGATGTATTTTTTGTGATCCGTTTCTAATACTATTAATTAATGAACTTCTACGAAGGTTGTATTTTCGAGAAGAAAAAAGAGAAATTTTATTCTCTACTAATACCAATTCTAAAATATTCTTAAGAAAACATTTACTGTATTTATTGTCGTCAAAATTTTCTGGAAAATTGTTTAAAAATACATTTAAAAAATGTATAAGATTTTGAAATGTTTCTTTATTTTCCATTAGTTTCGGTTCACATTCTGATGGCATTGAATTTAACATTTCTTCTTTTCTTGTTTCTGGAAATTTTGATAGATTTATGTAATAACCTTTGTGCAGGAAATAAATTTCATAAGCTGTGTAACTAATCAACGAAATTATTTTCGTAAAATTGGATTCACGAATTTTTAAATTATTCACTTTATCAGTTTCACTACAATCGTTGAGTTTTAAAACATTTTCAAAATAGTCAATAGCTATCTTCAATTGATTCTTGAATATTTCATTTTTTAGAGGAAGTGTATTTGCCTTCCATTTATGTTTGAAATTATTTTCATTAACTTGTTTTAGGATTCTTAGTTTATTTTTGAATGATGTATTTATTTTAATTTTTGGCTGCAAGAATAAATAATAATTTATATAATATTATAGTAGTATTATTTAAAAAAAAATTTCTATAACATTTTCCATAACTATATATATCCGAGGAGTAAAAATGCAATGGCTTCTAATTCATATTATTAAAAAATAAAAACTGAGGATTTACAATTAAATATCAATAAAATATATCGTCAAAAAGTTTTTTTATAGAAATGAAAATAATAATTTTGGAATCATGATTTTTAGGATAATGAAAATGCTTATTATAAATTCTGAATTACCTCCAATAAGATGCAAGGTAGTAAGAATAGTAAATTGGCACTTATTTCATTGTTTAACGAATTTCGGCTAATCTTAGAGTTTTTAAAATTAAAACTGTAAATTTGAGATTCTATTGTTTGGATATTTAAAAGACTGTCTACATAGCATGCATTGTATTTGTCATTATAGGACTGCTCTGGAAAATATTTTAAATAACTTTTAAAATAGTCTTCAATTTTTTTATATGTTTCTCTATTTTCCTTGAATTGTGGATCACATTTTAAGGGCGTCAATTTTAAAATTTCTTGTGTTACATTTTCGGGCATGTCCGAAAATATAATACTATAGCCGTTGTGGAAAAAATAATATTCAAATGAACTTTGATGGAACAACGTTATAATTTTCGTAAAGTTTAAATCGATGGCACTTGTTGAATTATCAACATTTGGAATTCCACTGCATTGATTATTGTTTTCGATTCTTTTCCCAAAATACTCGGTAATAATTTGTAATTGTTTCTTTAAATTTATATCCATTGGATGGGGTTTATCGTCAAGTGATTTTGTGTTTTTATCGCTGTACTTGGTAAATTCAATTTTTTCATCATCTTCATAATAATTAAATATTGCCAAAATAATCAGGAGAACTGTGCCCAATAAATGTAGAGTCAACTTGTTAATCATTTTTAATACTTCTTCGCTATATCCGCGTTATTAAATTTGTTGAATTTGCAAACAGCAAGCCTTCTCTAATTACACTAAAATTGTCTTTATAGAAAAGAGAAAATGTAGGAAAAAATTGCAATATTGGACGTTATGCACTTAATTTATCTTTATTTCAAGAATGTCATTAAATTATATAGTATGAAACATGTTGAAAAAAAAGCAACTGGAGAAAAATAGTTTTACTGCTTTAAAACATTCACTTCTAACACAAATATTATGAATATTTTTTTGGATTCTAAAATATTTCTAAGATGATACCTATTTATTGTTTAAATGCAATTACCTATATATCACTTTAATTAATAAAAAATGATCTCTCAATAAGTCATATTTATTCTTGATTTTGTTTTTTTTTCAAAAGTGCGCATTACTAATCGAAAGGTCCTAAAAAATCCTATTCAAACTGATATTAACAAAAAAATTATATTTAGAAGAGAAAATAAATTATTGTTATTCGAAAGTTCTAAAGTTCTCAATATCCAATTTTTGAAAATTAAAATTTAAAATTAATTAATTGTTTGAAATTTCTTAAAATTGAATCTTAAACAAGTGGATATCGCAATGGTATTTTATGTGAACTTTATTTTTTTTCTCTGAATACGTAATTGAATTTCAAAGAGCTTTTTCAAAAATTATGAAAAATATGGAGAAGAATTTTGATTAAAAATTTTAGAAAATAATTAAATTGAAATGATGAAAATATTTTTAGAAAAGTTACAGTAGTGTAAATCAGATTAACCTTTTTTGTGAAAGAAATAGTCAAAATTCTGTCTGGAAATTTTTTCAATTTCTTAAAGTAAACCGTATTAAATTTTCAATTTTTAATTTAACTAATTTTTCAATATTGAAATGCTACGTAATTTAATGGGTAAATATTTTCACCAAGAATTACCATCTTATAGTTGCGCTTATAGCACGACAAGTTCCCCATGTTTCTAGAATCAAAATTTTTTCATATAAATAGGATCAAGATTTACTAACTTGACAATAATCAGCCCACCTTGTTTTCGCTACTACTTTTTATATTTTGATACAACTAAAAATTGATTTTAAAATTAAAATTCACCCCGGGATATAACATAACCAAATACATAAATTTACAAAATGCTTTATTTCATAATAATTACAAATTTGTAAAATATTCCTGTCATATCCATGGACAATAATAAAGTCATCATTACCACGTGAAATATAAAAATTTGACATATACATAAATACCTTAACACCGTTGCTTAATAACGGAAGAACTAATCAATAAAAGACGAAAATTAATCATTAACGATGTTTTTGCAGTTTCTATGGATAACATTTTTTCAATTCCATAAAATTAAAAGCATCGCATAAAATATATTGAATATTTTCTAAATGAAATATTCATATTTTTACAATGAAGAGGGTCGGCACAGGGAAATAAATAACTAATAAGAATATGTTTTGTGCAATGAAACGGAAGTTACAATATCAATCAATTTAAATAACGCATTCACAATTTATATTTCTTGCATTACGTTAATTTTTATAATAAATTTTCACCAAACTCGACTAGCACAATTTTTAATCACAACAGATTACTGGTCTAAAATTCTCCGATAAACTTTCTTTTTAATAAACTCTCTTTAATTTCGAATGCAGAATCATTGGTACAATTTTTCGAACCCGCTCAACATCAATAGATTGAGATTAGAAGAAAAGACGCTTTTTGAAGGTAAAAACTAAAAATAAATCCATTTATACCTTCTGATTGTGCCGATAATGATAGTGAAGAAGAGAAAATATTTCTATGTTTCTGTGAAGAAACTTTTACATTATTACATTAGTCCATTGCTTTTCTTTTTATTACAAGTTTCTAATCTAACGAAGAATATGTATTGACATAGGTACTTTTAGGTATATGAAACAGTAAAAACTACTTTGTTACAAAAAAACTACATTTAGTTTCTAAACAGTCGATTAGATTCCAGAAACCTCTTTTTAATTTCTCAACAACATGAAATATAAGAAACAGTACATTTTCAAAACAATAAACTCTTCTTTTTTCAGTTTATTTAATTGTTAAATAAAATTTGATTTTTCCTCATGAGAATGTAATAAAATTAATAATTGAATGCGACTGCGTTGACAGACATACGAGAAAAAGGTACAGTATTTTTAATTACGCATGGATTAAGTTTTTAGATATTTTTCGTTATTAAAAGCTAGCTTTTAGTTGATTTCGTAGAGTGATTTTAGAAAAATTGTTTCTAAACCTTATTCTCTTTTGCACATTTTTTCTAAATTACCTCGATTATGCTTTCTCTCTTTCTATAAATTTTTTATTTTCGTCTACTCTCTCTCTCTCTCTCTCTCTCTCTCTCTCTCTCTCTCTCTCTCTATTCAGTAAGTTGGAGATAAATAATATCCAAGCTATTCTAACAACTATCGCAGATAGAAACGCATTATTAGAAACGGTAAAAAATGGACAAAGTTTTCATTTATCAAATACAGTCTAACACCTCCTTTCACTTTATTGTTTTTAATCATTTTTTGAATGCCTTTCTTTTCGTTAAAATTAGGAAGGCGTATTTTTCGTTTATCTTTAGAGTGGAAATTATTTTTTAGAAGTACTGCAAAGTAGAAGGTAAGAAAAAGTTTGTCAAATATTGAGAAATAGTGTGCTTCTTTAAGCCTTCCAATATCAGTCTTTCTTGCGTCCCGTAGCCAGCTTGTTGCGATCAGTTTACTCGCTTTGATCACAATTCGTCTTGCAATTTAATCGGCAGCTCAATCGATTGTCACCCGGGCCATCATTAGTCCTCGCCTAGTCAACCAAACTCTGAAAGAATAATAACCGGGGCAATTATGGTACAAGCAATTTTTAATTTTTCACGGACTATTTTTCACCCTACATAATCCAAAAACCAAAAATAAATATATGACGTGCTTTGAAAAAAGCACAAAAAGGTACCTAAGAAGCAAAAAGTTTTAGGTCATGTTCCAAATTTTTGTAATGAAAATCATGAAAATAATACACAAAAGGGTCCAACTTACAATAAATTATTGTAATTAAAATTTTATTAAAATTTTTTAAAACAATTGCATTTTTTTTATGAATTTTATTAATATTTTTAAGAATAATGTTTCTATCTCAACTATTAGCGGATTTAAAGTATATAGTGCAAATTCTCAAAGAAAAGGAAAAATTAGATTTTAGTGTCATAAATCTAAAAAAAAGGATGTGAATAGTAGCAAATCGAAAGAAGATTACAAGCTTGCATAACTTGCACGGCATGACTAAAAAAAATTTTTCGAATAATTATTTTCAAAAATTCAATTGATGTCTTCAAAAAAACTGAATTAAAATTTTTAAGGAACTTAATTTAGAACTTTGAATAAAATTCTCTAAAGTTTCAATTATTCTTAAAATTGTTTTTAAATCTACATTTAATTTATATTGAGAGTCGTATATTTTCATTACAAAAATTACAAACAACCTACAATAATTGTATTATATGTAAAGTATGTTGCCCAATTTGTTCTTATTTGTATTTTTCTTTTCATGTCAAATATAATTGAAAAAAGAACTCACCCGACACCGGTTCCAATTAGAAGAGACAAAAAGTTTGTGAGAAAAAGTGTGTATAAAACTTCCTTGGAAAATAATCCTTGTTTTCCAACTTTCACTGTCCTTATATTATACATTTTTCGTTTTGTGATGCTCAGAGGATGCTTGAATTTCCAGTCTCTGTAAAATAAAACAGAATAAAATCAATGATTCAATCAACTATTAAAAAAAAAAAAAAAATATTATAGGTATTAGTCTTAACGTTCAACATAAAACGTCTATTGATAACCCGATTGGAAAAGCTACAGACGTGCAATGACACTCCAGGGTCAATAAATCTTTTTTTTACATAAAAATTAATTTTCACTCAATTTTAACATCATACTCTTTTACCAAAGAAAATGAATATTTTTCGGACTGAAAGAAACTTTTTATACTAAAGTATTCTATTATGAAGAAAACCATTATGTAAAATTAATTAGAAGAGAATTTCAAGAACTTTCTTTTATAAAAAATTCTATAACTGGATTATTCTTTTACAACCCGTAGCACTAGAAAAAGACGATCGCGCATACAGCACTTTTAAAATACAATTTACTTGATTCAAAGTACTCTAAATATAGAAAATGTAATTAACGCTTTTGAAAGAAAATTTCTTCTTACAAAATGTTACTAAACTTTTTATAAAACATTTTTTCGCGATATATTTTGTATTTGAAAGCTTCAAAGTCAAGAATCTCGAAGCAAGTAAAGTCGTTTTCTTTTAATATAAATACATCGCATCACTCTTCTCGTAAAGAAACATTACATCCGATCGACTCCAACTCTGAGAGATTTTACCATGATTAAGAACTTTTTCAAATAAAGTAATCATCAAAAACCTTGTTTATTCCATCAGGACCCGGCGACTTGCTAAGTTTAAGTTTACCAATCACTTCCGTACTTATTTCCCTGTCAAGAAAAGGATGCTTTTTGAAAAATTTCACTCAAAGACATAGAAAACAGATCCAAATTTACATTATCAGATTGAAGAAACATGTTACTATAATATAAGAGCACATTCGATAAAGTGGAGAATGTCTGTAAAAAGGAGCCGTGTATTTCTTATTATGTGTAACTAGGGACATTGAAAGGTACCATCTCCAAAACAAAAGGACATTTAATCATGCCTCTAATGAGTTTCAAAAGAAAGATTATATGAGCAAATTCTTGTCTCTCTCCCAGAGACCACGCAACAAATCTAGCTTGGAGAACCTTAAATTCAGTTCCTCTAGGAAGATAGACTTTATCTACTCGCCAAGCTAAAAATTTTAAAATTTGCTTATGACAATAATTGAACCATAATCTACGATATACGTTTGTAAGCATGGGTCTACTCTCAAGCGAAAGCACTACACGACATAGAGGAACGGCATTCATTTGGCAAACCTCCTCATTGCCGATGCTCCGGAGGGGAGCTAAGATGTCGTTGCAAAAATTGTCGTTGTAAGGCTATGAAAACTGTGAGATGGGTACTGAAACAGAGGCTCACATATTATCTGAATGCCCAGCGTTAGCTAGGGCCAAATATTTATTGACCCTATGCAGGTTAGCAACTTATCGATAGAAGAGATACTGGACTCCTAGAGGATTTATTAATTAATTAATCAATTGACTTTAAACGAGCGAGCTGGAGACGGGTACAATGGGTAATAACCCAAGTACCCACTCTTAGATTGGAAATTTGAAGAAAGAGGATTAATTAATTACACTCGACTCTCACATTCTTGCATTCAATTCTTTTACTAACTCTAATCCGTTTGAAACTTTTCTCCCGTACCTTTTACCTTTTGGACTACCCACTTCCAATTTCGCTATTTTCGTTTGTCAAATCACACTAATTTGCCAGTCGTTCTAACTTTAAACAAATAAATGCCTTCCAGAGTGTCTAAACATTTACTTCGCGATAACCTAGGTTATCTAAAATGAATTATAACATCTGCTCCATTATGAGATTAAAATTACATTAGAATTTCTAATATTTTATGTAGGTATATTGAAAATAAAGAATAGATGCTGTCGTATTATTATATAATAATATAATTTTTCCAAAAAACAGGAGGTACACTTCGTGTACGGAACCAAAAAGAATAAAAAGAAGATTAAAGTACTGTGCAACTTGCAAACCCTCATCCCCTAGATTATACTGTCACCTTGAATATTCTCTTAATTTTTGTATCTTTAATTGATTCATTCTTACTTTGGTGGCATTTGATCTGGTCTGGAACTCCACTCATATATCCATTCATTATTTTTTTCTTGAAATTCTCCATCCTGCAACAAAAAAATAAAATCCATATATATATATAATAGGAAACTAAAACTATCTTACAATTTATAAATACTTCCTTTAAAAGGAAATATCTTTCGACCAGTTTCCTTTCCGAAACTATACCTACACAGATAAAGTGTTTAGTAATGATGACGTGAATTACGCAATTGCTAATCAACTCATTTATTCTCGTATTCACTGATGTGTGATGTCGTTTAATTTTAATGCTTTGTTTGTAACTTATTAGGGTATATGTACTACTATTTGCATTTGATAATGTAAAATTTTTAAAAATGAAATGAAATATTTTCCAGTTTTTAATTTAACGTTATTTCAATCAGTGTTAATGTTGCGCATTTCATTATATTGAAAAAAGAAATTCAGTAGTCTTTAACTGGTTTTATGTACGATTTGTATAATAATTAGTCACTGAATGTATTATCTCTTAAAAATTACAACTGATAACAGATTCTATGTATAGAAGCACATAAAGCTCACAATATTTAGCGAGTGTGTTAAATAAAAAGAAAAATCAATATGCAAATCATTTTAGAAGATTCTAGCAGCTAGAATCTAGACGTAGGGAGACGATAAGAGTTTCTTATATTCTAGCAAATTAATTAAGACCTCATAATTCAACATTATTTTTTAATCTCTTTCACAAAGAAAGAAAAATAATTTTTTTCCTTCTAAAAAGTCGCCGACTAATTTTAAAAAAATATATTTTTGTTTTGTAGAATAAATAAATAATATACTAACAATAATAAATATACACTAGTAATAATTGAAGCAATAATAATAAAATTGAATTATTAACAAAATAATTTTGTTTAAAGAAATTAGTGAAATTTATTTGTTGATTTTTACATAAAATCTTCCACTTTAAAAATACTCTACACAACAAGCTTCCAAGCTTCCTGATAAAAGAGTAATTATAATACATTTTCTTTACTGATATTTATTTAACAATAAACGCGTGCCAACTTTGAACAAAGAACGATGTTCTTATCATGTGTGACTAAGAATGAGAAAAACATTATCAAGGTGATTCTGTATATTAATGAAGGGTTCTGGGAGGGGACATAATATTTCATTTGAACATCTAATAAAGTCAGTGCATCTATCAAAAATTTCTATTGTAGTACACTCGTGAATTTAATCAAGTTGGAAATTTAAATTTTATACTAATGAAAATATTGCAACTTTGTTAGTGTAACAGATGCAATGTATATGAACTTTTAACTCCATGCTAAAAATAAAAGCAGGAGTAACTTTAATATTTATTTATAGTCTGATTTTAATTATTCTCTATTTTCTATCAATCTTCATTAGAGAAAATTTCTAATAGAAGGCAATTAGTAGAAAAAAGCGAGAATCTGACCACGTTACTATAATTTGTAAATGTTGCGTAAATCGAATCATAAATATAAGTTTTTGCACGCAATCAAACATAAATTTTACGAATTTCTATCAATTTTATTTGACCCTATTTTGAATTTTACAACGATGAATCAGACATACAAAATAATACTGACTGCAATAATATTTTTTCTGAAATTTTTTTTCCTCCTACTTTTTGCTCCTTTCTATATTTTGAGCCCTTTATTATGAAATTTATCTTGTGAAAAGTGACAATATATATTATATTCCAAAGACTATTAGTCTTTGGAATATCTTTCTTCAACCCTTTTCACAATATAAATTTTATTTCCTTATTTCAAGAAAGACCGAATCTTTGAATGATGTCATGTTGTTTGGGGTAAATATGATTCTAATATCTAATTTGCAACATGTTCGATCTTTTTTTCGCATGTGTGTCTTACTCTAGTTCAAGTTTTTTAGCACTCCTTTCCTCGCAGTTCAATGTCACTTCACTATATGTAAAGTGACGCGTACTTGGACGACGCAAATGCATTGTTACATTGACTATTTTTGCAACAAAGTCGGCGCACGTTTCAACTTAAAGAGGTATTCAATTATAGAAATAAGTTTATCATTTTTGGCACGTTAGTTTTGACGACTGAAGATAATCACTCTTTCATATGTCTATCTTTTTAAAAGACTAACATTCAGTCTATTGAACTCCTGTCTAATGATATTTTTAGATTAGCTCTTTCATTTGATTTATTTCAATTCCTCTATTATTATTAAGTCAGTATACATTTTCTCAATAATTAAAGTGACCATATGGAAATAGTGTCAATGCGGGACGCCCGCTTATTTATATCATTTAGTAAAAAAAAGGTCTATGCCACAAGAAAAAAGGAACAGGAAATTTGTAGGAGTAAATTGGAGTGGAATTGAAACAGCTCGCGTCTTATAACATTTACATTGAATTTTTCTTAAAATATCACGAAGTCTATCTCTCTCACACTTTTACGCTACTGCGCTAACCTGTAGATGCAGGATATTCTTAACTATTTTCCAGAATATGCAGGACATTTTATGTCAAATGCGGGACGTTTTGCGGGACGCTAGCCTTTGCGGGACGAAGGGGAAAAATCCGGGACGTATGGTCACTTTATCAATAATGTATTCAAAATTATATGATTTTTCAGAGAAAACAAAAATATTGCTTTTGAAAATATTTTCCAATTTCTAAAAATTTATTTTTTAATAATAAAATTTTTCAAAAATACCATTTCCTCCTAACGGAAATAAAGTTTAAATATCCAAGTATGTAATTGCTAGTTTTAATAAATTTATTAGATTTATAGAAATAAATATTTTCCAACTTTTGAGATTTAAAATTTTTACGAATAAAGATGCGAAGTAATTGTTTCATTTTTTGTTTTGACAAATTTTTACTTTTCCTAGTCAAACATAACCTCAAAAGTGTTGTGAAACATAACCTCCACTTTTTCGAAAACCCATTACCATAATAATGAATCAGTGAATCAATGAAATCTTACTCACTAATTAAAACAAAAACACACAAAGAAATTCCATGTACATTACTTTATTTGAAGGTCACTTTAATTCTTTTCATTACGATTTGTTAAAAGTTTACCTTCATTTAAAAAATAATTATGCTGTTATTATTATTATTTTGGACAAAATAATATTTAAATTCTGATAAATAAAAGATAAAGTTCGAATGATATAATAGATATTTTGGGCACCATATCTTGAAGACGCCATTTCGAATTCGGTGTAAGCGTGTAAGTCCTTGAACTTAGGGTCGACACAGAGAAATTATTTTTTCTCCAGAAACCACCCGAGTAAGTAACAGATTTTTAAGTAAATCGATTTTAAATTCGTCCAAAGTTTAGGGCACCAAAAAACATTGGGATAAGGTATGATCCTTTCTAAGGTACATGATGCAGGACTGTATTATTATAATAAATTGTCACTTGTATCCGTAATAAATTTCACTCTCTAAATCTGAAGCAATGAATTTGATGAAATTTGACTGATTTTTAGTGACACTGACTCTATTCTCCCGATTTGAATCAGTTATTACTATTATAACAATTAGATTGATAACTAAAAGAAAAAGTACAATAATTTCAAGTTAATCTAATCGTTGATGCCTATTTATTTATAATAAAGTCACTCGGACGTGACAATAATTTGAAGAAAGAATATTAATGAATGCCTCGTTATTCCTACGAAAAGTTGGAGACTGTTTAAAAGAGTCTAAATTAAGAGTTGATGATCAATAGATGAACCGCAGCACATGGCGTGACCAAGAAAAGAAGTTGCGATTGGTCAGAAAGAACTACGCGTTCTTCAAGAGTAGTGTTGAAGAGCGTCACCCTCATTCGCATACTGTGTGTATAGTTGTAAATTAAAATTACACAAACACGGAAACGGAATCCCCGATGACAGCATTTGGAATTTTTCGACATCATCAAATCGACGAACTTTCTGGTGGATATTTTTGTACAGTCAAGTGCAAGTCGAGAGTCGCATCGCGTTACGACTAATACGACTTTACGAGTAAGATGAGCGAGAGGAAACTCGAGATTCAGAAATCAATTATACGTTATGGAACACGTGCGTGCATAACGGCACGTGTTTTAATCAACAGTAAAACGAGTAAAACTGTTGATTTGCGACTCTATTTAAACGACCCATTTGCCCATCCTATTCTTTCGGCCAAGGAAAGCGATACAATGACTTGCTGCTATTCTCTTCAAAACACAGACGATTAATGCGAGGTACACCTATCATATATTCATGAATATTTTTCATTTCCTACGGTTCTTTCTCTCCATCATACGTAATGGAGAAAACATTTGAGAAAGCCGGAAAACTCTTTAGATGCTTTTTCTTCTTCTACTTTAAATTCACTTTATAATCTTCCGCATTACTTATTATTATTTATTTCGTAAAAATATTAATATTGATATTCCCGTTATTAATACACAATGACTAACATCGTAATTATATTCAAGATTTACAACCATTACGTCTCAAGAAGGTGAAATGCAACATTTTATACGTAAACTATTTTTATTTCAATGTAAATTCCATCAATGAAAAGTAAAAAAAATATAAACATAATGTTTTGAAATTGCGACGTTTCGATTAATATAAATGGTGATAAATTAACAAAAAAATAAAAACCAAACACGTGACAATTAACGTCACTTCGATGCTAGCATCAAGTCAAAACTAATTTTAATTTATTTTGGAAGAATACCATTTATGTATATCAAAGAGAGGAGTCAATGAACTCGCAGATAAACAAGAAAGAAAAAGATCAGCAAGATTCTGTTATGAATTTAGTTTTCTAATAAGGCGGATTTTTCTAAAATGGCGGATCCAATATGGTGGACACTTTTTTGAAAAATTCATCGGATTTGCTTGAAACTCGTTGCTCGGGGGTTTTAGGACTCGCTGATTATACGAATTTGTAGTCAGTTTTAAAAAATTCAAAATGGCCAAAAATTATCTTTCAATTACACATAAAAATTTTGGTTCAATAAAAATTACGTTTAATTCAATTGTAAAATATGTTTAATTCAAACATATTTTTTTGGTGGCTTATTATTAGTAGAGTGGCATCAAGGCAGCAAAATTGACCTAAGTTGATTTTTATGTTGAAAAGTTAAAATATTTAAAAATTATTATTTAACCTTTATTATTAAAAGTAAAATAAAAGATGTTTCATCCAATAGCGTATGGAAACATGAAAGAAGAAGACTATGTAAGACCTGCTTAATTAGTTCTAAAGGTCCCTTTGACGCTTAGCGGCTTAATTTAGATTGTCTGTTGCAGAAAGGTGTGCACTACACAGAAATATTGAATGCAAACGATAATAGAATATATCAAATGTAGGTAACATGATTTTCTCAAGTATTTTTAGAATTGGTAAATTTTCTTCAAGCGTTGATTTTTATTTTTGAAATTTTGAAATTTTGAAATTTTATTAGACATTTTCATAAAATTTAAAGAAAATTCTTTAAGAAGACAAAAAAGTATAACAAAATAATTAAAATGTAAAAAAATACAGAATTATTATTGTAAAAATAGAAAATTGATTTTAAAGATAATTAACGTCTTCTTGTTTTCTTTCGATTGTTGTTTATATCTTTCGCGACCATGTAATTATGAGAAAAAACCAAGTAGGTATCAGTTTCTAGAAAAAGTGATAAAACGATATCATTGTACGTTCATCACGTGCTTCTGTTTATACTCAACATTTATAATTTGAAAAATTATTGCAAATTGATTCCTTTAGTTACAATAAGCAAGCGATCCTTCTATAAGTTCGTTTTCTTGTATTTGTTTTAACTTTGTAGTAGATTAAATTATTTTAAATAAATTATACATGATGAATCACAATCGAATTTACTATAAACAAGTCATCAAATCATTTTTTTTTTATTTGTTATCGAAGATTGGGAATATATCATTTCCGCCAGTTTTTGATGTGTGGAGTCAAAATATACTGAAAATTGGGGTGGAATTTTTTTTAATGCAATTTTTTAGTAAAGTGAGATTAAAATCTGTTGACTGATTTTTCCTGGGACGTCAGGTTTTCAGTAAAACTGAAATGTTTCTAAGCGTTCACTTGCATCCAGCATTTCAAAGATTTTAATATTGAGGGATCCTTTATCGTTAATGTTTACATTTTTAGTACAAGTATAATAAAAAGGCCTACTATATGGTTCTGTTGTTTTAAAAATGTATATTTTCAATACTCTCAACTAGTTTCGAACATATTTGTTCCTTTTCAAGAGATTTACATTAATTTAATTTACATTAGTCATCAACATGAATACAAACATAAAACGACTTGAAAAAGTATTTGTTTATTTTGAAAAAAGAATTATTATTAAAAAATTGTTAAAAATTAAAACTTTTTTAAAATGCACATTTCTCTCTGATGGTATTTACAATATGCGAAGTCTATAAACTTAAACATAAATTCAGGGCATGAAAAGAATCATTTCGCGAAAAATTAATAAATTGTTCAATTTTTGTCCGTCTATTCCTAACTGAATGATTGACCTTTTCATTATAATTATACTAAATATATTATTACACTTAATTTGTTACTGTACTGTAAATGTATCAATATTATTATTTACTGGTTTGTAGGCTACATGACATAGCAGATATTAAGGGATTAGGTGTAGTCAGGATTTTCAAAAAAATCGATTCTTTTATTGCATCTCATAAAAGTAATGCCTTGGATATATTCTCTGAAAATTTCAAATAAATACAAAGAATAGTTTTCGATATAAGCTACAATTACTGAAGTGCTCTCTGACTCTTGAAGGCAGGTAATCGGCAGCAGTTTCCAATAACCGGTCTTATGATTAAATGTTAGACTATTGTTAGGCGTCAATATATTTGTGACAGTTGAACATCGGCAGAAGACTTATTATGTTTCCGTAATAGATGACTCAGTAATTAAATAATTAATAATTCAGTACATAAATCGAGTGTAAAAATTTAAACCCGTTTAAGGGGGTCACCCCGTGTGGCAGACGTTTTTTAAGAGTTTTTTTGGGTTTTTCTTTTTAAGAACCATGGAAACTTAGGACTTGAAAATTTTTACCATATATTCAGTTACATTTTAACAAAAAATTTAAATTTTTGCAAGTAAAAATATTTTAATGATTCCGAATTATAAAACTGGAAAGTAATGATGATCATAACGTCCACGATACTGACTAATTGACTGAACTAAAATTAAAAAATTAAAAAGCATTTTAATCTGTGAGGATGTGGCTATAGCCGGAACTAAGTAGAATTATTTGAAAATATTAAAAATTAAATTTTTAAGCGACTTTGAAATGTTTTTTTCAAAAAAAACGTAATGTTTTTGGTCTTTTTTCTTGCATAAAATAGAAACAACTTGACCTTTTTCAATTATCCTAGTTCGGGCGATAGCCATACATGTGCTGAACACGCCCTATAAATTTGTGCGATATTGGTCAAGCCGTTTTTGAGATATCATGGACGCCAGTTTGAAAAACACAATTTTGAGAAAAACGCCTATAAAAGCTTAAGTAATGCATTGTTCGCTTGGCAACTCCTTGTCTTCTCAGTGCTGTAACTTTCTTAGAATGTCAAATATTAAAAATCCTCTTTACCCACATATTCTACACATATTGTAGATGTGATTTATGAAAAAAAAATTTTTCGATTTTTTGAACCCATCACACGGAGTGACGCCCTTAAGATCCCTTTCACCGCGAAGAGTCACAATTTTTTGTCTATTAAAATTAAAAATGACAAGAAGAATTTCAATTAACAGGTCGAAACTTACATAGTAAAATGGCAAAGAGGAAATAACGGAATAAGTAGTAATGTAATTTTATAAAATTTTAAAGATTCTTCGATAATTGTAAAGTATCTTTCCTGCGTGTTATTTCTGTCTAAAAGTTGAAATTGCGTACGCAGCTACGGTATCGAAGCTACAACCTTAAGAAGATACTTCTTTTATGTGCGCAAAAACCGGTTTTACTATGGAAAACGAAAAATAGAAGAAATAATTCGGATTGCAAAGACGAGTTGTGTAACCGCAATCTCTTTGAGAAAGTGATGAAGGAGAAGAAATGTACATTTTCGATCAAAAAGAACCGAATACAAAAAAATTATTCTCTGAAATCAATCACTGGCATTTGATACAGAAGAGAATACGCAGACAAATAGTTGAAAATTCTCACTTTTGTCTCGTATTCCCTACAATCTACATTGTTTTTCATCGTATACCATCTGTTTGTAAGGAATTATCTGATGATTACCAAGGTTAAAACTTGTAAACGTGAATAAAGATTAGAAGAGTCGATAATTGCGTCTTAAGATAAAAAAAGTTTCAATTCTAATAATATTGTTATATATTGTACATAGTGTTCAACGTCAAGAGATAGATTCGTATTCAAAGACGCTTTTCACTTATGCGTCATTACTTTTCATTTAAAAGAAAACATTGAATACTGCCAAGTGCGTTGCCACTATTTAACATTATTTTCAATCCAGTAATGAACATTTACATCTAGTCGTCCTTGGTGACGATTTTGTAATCAATTCTCTGTTTTCGTATATACCCGGCAACATCCCATCTATCCGGATTTCTCACTTTATTCAACTTGTAATGTTTATGGAAATGTGATATTTTTCCTGTGGTATTAAATTTTAAGATTCTAAATTTGCACCTACAACTTTGTACACATCAGTCTAGAAAACAATATAGTTTATAACTGACATGGTTCAAATGAAATTATTCATTTAAATAATCAATTTTATAAACGAATTATATAATTAAGTGAAAACTTTGCCATTTGATGTTAAGAAATATAAGAAATATTAGAATACAAATATTGCGTCAAAAATAAATAAGCCATCAGATAGATGTTGAGAAAAATTAAAAATGTCGGAAAACATTTTTTTAAATTCTTAGGATTCCATTATAAAATTGGGGTTACTTAAAAATTTTATTGTGTTCTGCTTTTTTCTCTTATTTAAATAAACTGAAATAAAATCAAGAATTGAGTAGATATTATTAAAAGTTCTTTTAGAATAGGATGTATTCATTAATTTTTCAAATTCAGACATAACAATAGCATAAATTCACTTATGTGGGAAAAGTTGCTCATATAGGAATAACTTTTTTATTTAATTTAACGTAATATCATTTGTCCCAGAAATAAAAATCTAATATTTATAACTAGTCTGAAAGTTTACTACTTAATTTATTTAGACCATGTGAGGAAATGCGAACGTGAGAAATTATGGATTAATTGAAAAAGTTTACAATACACCTCATGTGACATAGTTTGAAAACTTTTCATGTTGACCAAAGAGTAAAGTACGCAACTTTTAAAAATAGATAATAATTATGATTTGATAAAAATATAAAAGAGATTATGTCAAACACTTTTTTCTATTTGGTTATGGCTACTTGGAAAATTCAGATTCGTGTTGTTTGCAGAATAATTTCGGAAAATGTAAACTTCACAGAAAAGTTTAACGTTTTTGGCAGATTGTTCTGAAAATTTTGAACAGTTTGCAAGACAAAAATTCGAAAAATTATTTTGTATCTGTGTGTAAAGAAAAAAATTGAAAAATTTTGGTCAAATTGTTTAAAAAGACTGAACTTACCTTGTTGCAACTGTAATTGATGTAAACCCCTTTTAAATCGTCTTCTGTCGATAATTCTGTATTTGGACTGTTTGGAGGACTTTTGGGACTGAAAGGAAATAATTTATATATTAAATTAAATATTAAACATGTGAAAAAAATTTTTAAATTAGATTTTATAAACATACCACATACTGAATTTACAGAAGTTGGAAACGAAACTTTAAGAATTTGTTTTATTGGAAAAAATAAAATTATGATAGAGTAAACTGAGACTTTGAACATCTGTTTTTAAGTTAATACTATCAGGATTACTAGAGATATTATGTACTGACCATTTCTAAAACTTTTCTTTCGATATAGAATGTACGAAGTATTAAAATTAAATTAAATTTATGTGTTACCAAAATGAAATTTGTGGAATTTAGAAACTGATTGTTTTTGCTGGGAGTTGTATTCGTTTCAAATTGAGAAACTTTTCTTACATGTTCCTTCATTTTGGTATCCAACGACATATCCAACTGTTTATTAAAAATGATAATCTTCCTAGTTTTCCTCAATTCAATTTTTAACTTGAAACGATTCTCTCTTAAGGGTATTGGAACAAGAAACACCTTTAAAAATGTCTGTCAGAACTTATGCTTCATCTGAAACGGAATATGACGGGCACATAAAAATCTCCGAATTTACTTCCTATCGCTGTATATATTAAAAGATGTTAAATTTCTTCGCCGCAAATTAAATTAAAAATTTTCAAGATTCCGGCTGATTCTTTTCAAGTTACGATCAATGTTTAAATTGTGATAAAAAATAAAAATTCGTTTAATAAATTCGAATAAAGTATAATTTCTGACCGCAATTTTTAAATACCTTTCTTGCTCCAAAACCCTTAACAGAGGATTTTTACAAATGATCTAAATACATGGGGTTAGTTTTAGATAACGCAAATACGATTATGAAAATCCAGTATTACATATAGTTGTATAATTGTTTTCATAATCGATGGGAAAATGAGGAATTCTCTTTTGAATACATCTTCAGCCAATTGCAACACGAATTTATTCGCTTCTAAACCAAAGTATATACGTGTATATCTTCGATTTACTTCTATTGCCACCATTGCCACGTGCGTACGATTTCCTTTCTATAGTGAAAAATATAACCTATTTTTAAATGACAATAGTATTTATATATATTCTGCTCTAAATTGTACAAAAAATAATCACGTTTATATAAAAGATATTTTTATACCTTCTCAATTATATTTATGCGTAAATTTTTGTTCAACTTTTTCAGACTTTCTCTTTGTCATTTCAACTCTAGGAGAAAGAGAGAAATTTAAAAAAAAATGGCCAAAATGGTAATTTGTATAACGAAATTCGAAATTATTGCTACAAAATTAAGAGATATGTATTTCTGTAAAAATAGAACGCAAAGTGGCAAAGTCTTTTAGATGAAATAAAATGAAATGACTTGCTCGCACAAAGAGACGTCTCTCTTATATTTTAATAACAAGGACTTTATCATCGATTAGTTAGTCGAGCGTAAAGTTTTGCAAAAATCATTAACGGAATGCTAATGACCGACCTTCGCAGAAACATAAATAGCAACAGTAACTTCATTCTTTTCTGTCTTTCGTCTTTCGTCTTTCATCTTTATACAAGAACTAAAAGCAAATTGGCAATTCTCAAGTGTGCAGTCTGTGCAGTCTGTGCAGTCTTCTAAGTACTTTGGATACAAAGGAATTCAAGAAATGCAAACAATGTTGTCAGGATAACTCAGAGTTCGTCTCAACTCTCAGTTTATAATACGCGGACTAAACTGTCTATTGACTCAAAACACATTTCTCTTTATCAACTTATTGTTAAATAATTGCAAACATCGCAAGAGAAGATTTTAATCGAACATAATAATGCAATAATTTAATTATTTATGGAGACTGTCGGAGACTGTACATTAATTCGAAAAATGTTTGAACTTAGTTTTAAAAATAATTTCACGAAAGAGTTATTATTCTGTAAGAACTTCAACTTTTTTTAAAACAATCAACTTATGGGGTCTGTTTTTATTTTTATATTTTTATATTTATTTTTATTCAAAGTTAAATATTTTTTATGAAGCTGCAACCTGCACTTAGTTATCAAGACCTACTCAATTTTTTTCAAAATTTTATGTTGGTTTCAAACAAAAAAATATTTAACTCTAAAATTTAATTTCCAAAATTAAGTTGTTGCTCATAAGTACTGGGTGCCAGTTTCAGCTCCATATGCAATATTGGAAATTCCTTTAAAGGAACTCACATAGAATCCATTTTCAAGTTCCTTTGTAAGATTCCTCGGCTCGTAAGTAGAAATTGCTCCTTCGGAATTTCTAGAAGCTTCTACTTTATAGAAAATAAATTTACCTATCACGTGGAGTATCCCGACGAGAAGAGGCCAAGGAATGTCTAGCTGACGAATGGGTCGAATCACGTTGTGCTTCCCTCAGAAGGCGCAAGTATTCTTCGCCACCGCTGCTGAAAGGTAAAGGCGTTATTCTGTCAGCTGATACAGGATTAAGCTCTACCCAAGATTCTGAAAGAGAAATAAACAAAATTAGCTCACCTATGGTATCGATTCAATTTTTTAAAAATACTTAATAATATTTAAAAACTATAAACTTCTGGTATTTTGCACCCACATTTTTCAAGTGTTTTATAAGTACCTATACCAACAAAATTGGCACCCAGTAAATTTTTCAAAATTTGATGTTGGTTTTAAACAAAAACTGCTTTAAAAAGCTTTAAAATTTAATTTTCAAAACTATGTAAGTGGAAACTATAATATCATTGTATTGAGTAGTGCCAGTTTCAGCATCATCAAAATAAATAAAATAAAAAAAAATTAAAATTAAAATCTTCTAATGAAGACAATGTGGAAACATTCCACACTAAGTATACTTTTAGACAGGAAAACTCCCAATCTATAATATTTAAAATATCATAGACTTTATTAGATCCAAACTTAGAATGCACCCCTACGATTGTTTTAAATTGTATCAACCGTTCCGTTTCCGTACTTATCTCCTATATTAGTAGGCATATTGAAGGAAATTGTTACTGCGTTAATGTTATATTGAAGACCAGAAGCATTCTACTATTAAGGACAAACAATTTAAGTGACATGCTCAGCAAAGCATAAAATTGAGTTTTCTTAAAAGACTGCCTGGAGTCTAACAAGGTTACATGAAACATCAGTTTTATGAACTAACCGTACATGTGTACATGTGCTCTATTCTCAAGAAAAAAAGTTTCCGAACTTAGTTTTAATCTGCAGCAATTAAACTAAAAATAGAACAATTAGAAAAACATCAACAGTATACTTTGTACAGAAAGTTTAAATAAGAAAATCAATAAGAGGTTAAGAACCGTGTAAAGCTAGTCCATAAATTTGCTGACGTAATTTCTTGCGAGTTTGCCTTTATACTCTTTTTTTTATAAATCCATCAAGCTGTAAATGAGATAGAAGAAAAATAGGTGACTGCTTTTCACACTATACATATACCAAAGTAGTGTGTTTAAATTCAAATTTGATCCTCATATTTGAATTCCTTTTAGAAATAGAGGTATGTTAAAAGACACACACATTTCCACATTGGTTACAAAACGTCTGAATTTAACTGATAAATTTATTATAATACGAAAATGGGTGCGGTAGAAATAGTGAATGTGAATATTGTTTAATTCCCATGAAATTAAAATAAATTCATAAAATGTTAGAAATACGAAGTGTGAATGAACTTTATTGACGAATTGGCATAAAATATTAAAATACTTTAATCTCACTCATCAGTAAGTACAGAAATGGTTATCGATCAAATTCAGTTGTCACAAATTTATGTGGCAGGCAGGTAAAAATGAATGAAAACTTAAGAAATGGTCTTTCTGTATTTCTTTACTTAATCTCGTGCAATCTTATTATCATCAACAAATAAATGAATTTAAAGAAGGTTTTTCATTTCGTTATCAGTTCAAGTTCACCATATTATGGTAAATCTGCGAACACTTGTTAATGCATTTTAAATTCAATTATTACAAGTCTAGTTTAAATACAGAGCGAAGCCACTTATCAGATTGTCGCACTTTAAGTTTCACCCCATTGTGCGATGAGAGCAGTTAATACAAGGTTTCTTGTATAGATAAAAAGTACATCCTATCAGCATCGAATTTTTAGATTTGAAATTCAAATTTTGAAATCACATTAACAAGAAAAGTTTGGTCAAGTTGAAATTATATTCACGCCGCGCCGAAGCTGATTTGTGAGAGTAATCCACTTATGACTTGCAAACTTCTTTCTTTCCTCTCAGAAGTATTAAATAAATATAAATATTTAAATTCAAATGAAATGCTGTCAGGCTGTTTCAAAAAACATTTGAGAAACGAGCTCAAAAGCATTTGAGCTAAGATTTGGAAAACATATATGCCTATTCAAAACTGACGTTTGCTTTATTTATTTAAGGTTGGTAGTACAGAAAAGATTTTAAGAAAAGGTTATAAACTGTTTTACAAATATAATTTTTCAAGTTGTTGATTTTCGGAAAAGCCATCATCTAAACTTATCTTATTGATATTCCTTATAAAAGAAGAACTTTTAAAAGAACTAGTTTTAATTAATCGTAACATTTTCCAATTCCGAATTTTAATAAAGGTGAATAAAGGGTTGATTAGAAAAAGTGGTGGTGTTTCTCATTGGATAATATTACCCCCGTTGAGGATATATTTCGCCTGTAATAATAAAAAAATACTAAATAGTTAAGTTCTAAAAAGAGGGAGAATTAAAAAGAGGGATTGATAAATTTCGAAAAACAGTGAATGTGCAATATATTAAAGTTTATTTTTATTTGTTTACTAATACTAATAATTGATAATGATATTATTGTAATTCGAAATTATGTAAATGACTAAATGTTGATTATTCTATTCTTGAAAGCAGTGTTCCATTTAATCTCGTGTTTTTTTCCTCCTTTTGTGCGCAGTGTAATCCTTGGTGAATGATCAGGTCGATGGAACACAGGACCTGACGTTGGTCACGTAGCTCGCTACGAAAGCTACATTGCGTGCAAACTGTCAGGTCTTCATGCCTTCTTTGTTTGATTTCCTTTCTCTTTACACATGAGGAAACCATTATAATAAATCACACTCCTCAAGAAGAATAAAAATCTAATGTCACGCGAATCTAGTGGATTCCCGAAAGAATAATATTTTATGCAACATACAATCAAAAAATTTAATCGTCAGCATAATATTCTTTATTTTTAGAATATTGAAAGTATTTATTTTTTAAATCAATCGTGAATATGTGAATATTGCATAAGCTATTAAGACGATTAATCCGTAAAAATTTACATTGAGAGGCTTATATTTTGAGCTTGAAACATTTGTTTTTAAGGGAAAATTGGAGACTTTTGATTCACACTTACTGTATTGGTAAAAAATTACAAAATATTCGCAAAGTACTTCCGACTGGAGTGTATTATAGAATCCAATTGTTTAATTTAATTTTAATTTAATCAATTTTTCACAACGGAATGTATTTCTCGTTTAAAAAACTTTTTTTAAAGAATTAACACTCGTTCAAGAAAAATTCAAAAAATGTAGAACAAGTTTTAGGGTATATAAAGAAAAAATTTAAAAATATGTATAGGTACTGAAAGCATGTCAAAGATACAATTGAGTTTCTATAAATAGATGAAAGCCAACTAGAATATATATATAAATTATTGTTCTGCTCGTCAAAATTAGGTTTCTACGTGCAGAATTAAATAATTTGATTGTTTGATGGAGTGTGACAACTTCCTTTATCACAAGAGAAGAAGAAGAAGCAGCAACAGATAAAACATGAAAAGCATGTCTCTTTGATGCCTACAAGAGAATTTCAGATTTCCTGACATGAGTCTGTAACATATGACCTAATTTGTATTCTATATTAGGAATGGCTACTTCAATTTAAAAACTATGTTTAGTTCTCGCTTAACTTCAAGAATCAATGGTGGTAAAATAATATTCTAAAGACAAAAAAAATTGCATACTAGCGACGACTATTTTCACCTCAATGATCAGAATTGTATTCTTTTTCTCGTGAGATTAAAATCTAAACACTTTCAATCCTCTAAACGTCTTAGTTTTTCACCTCTTTCTTCAAATTAAGGTACATGAGTCAGCCAAAAAATCTGTAGGCTCAATCAACATTCTGTTAGAAAAGAATTCTACCGAAAAAAATGTGTAAAAAATCTTTTTAATAAAAAGAGGTTTAAAAATAAAGAAATTTCAATTGAACATTCGTCGTATAAAAATTCAAATTTTTTATCCGATTAAGTTAAACTTTTGTAGAATAGAACTCTACCAAATGAAAATTCTGACAATTGACTTTTAGGTCTTATTCATAAGTCACCTCAAAATTTTTTGAAAAAAAGGAAATAAGTTACAGTAATGAAAATGTAAGTAATAATCGAAATATAAAATACCAAACCATCTAATAAAAATATAAAATAAGTAGTCTGGGAGTAAATATTGTGCATCGAATCATCATTCTAATGAATATGCTTCAAATTTAATTAAGTTACAAGAGAGAATAAAAGTATTTATTAACTAATTGTGAGAATCACTTATTCTTGTATTGACATTAATAACAAATTTAGTCATAACATAACGACAAAAAACGTTGGAATAACACTTTGTAGCTAATTATAGACATTAGTTGATAGTCATGAATGTACGTTTCCTTTTGCTTGAGTATATCAGTCAGTGGCATGAATGTAATTATTATCACATGTGCTATCATCAACTTTTAACCACAATTTCCCTCTTTTACCAAAAATATCTATTTCTAAATAAAGAACATATCTTTACCATAAAGTAAATGAAATTTTTCTCGTTTTACTTTTTTCAATTTTATAAATTCAAAATTTCAATTCAAGTAAAAATCCAATTTTAATTTTAATGATCACGCATATTTTTGGAAAAATGTATCTCAAACTATAAATTTCCATCAAAAGGAAATGGGATGAAGTTTTGTTCAATATTGAAAAAATGTTGCGGTCGAACTATGTAAACGTATAAAAGAATGATAAAGACTATAATAGGGAAACGTGCAGCGATATTTCCACGTAGCCGACCTTTTGGTCTTGAAAGCAGAATTTATCAATATTTTTGCCTCCACTTTACTCGCAAAAATATACTATTTAAAAATGTACGTTGATTTTTTAGATTTTTTATCTGCTATTTTCTTTACACGTTTATTTACATTTCCATGAAAAAATGTTTCGAAATAATGATAATTTTCTTTGAAAAAAATAATAAGATTTAAATAATTATCATTGTGAATGTAAAATAATTTTATAATTGCTAGAAGTAATAAAGCAAAACAATAATGACTATTTTTGATAACTTTTCTTTATATTACCGTTTTTTTTACTTTGGCAATGTCTCTTAATTATACGAATAAAATTTTGACGAATCTTAGAACCAAGAACAGGACAATATTTTTCCCAAGATTTTTGATGTGCTGATTTCGAAATTGACCGAAGAATTTCCCCA